TTCGTGAGGGAGGAACATGCTGTGTTCGTACCAGCCCCGATCTTCGTTGCCGGCTGCATCCAGGTTCACCTCGCTTCGATCATCTCTAAAGTCTATAGTGTGTGACTTCAGAAGCCAGTGACAAACAGTTCCCCAAGAGGCGGGCATAGGGAACCCAGATCTTGTGCGGCTCCGGAAGAATCTTTCCTCGATCAAGCCAGAATGAACTTTAAGGGTTTGGGATTGCTATAGTTTCGATCTATATTGTCTAGGGTTTCTGAGAATTCCAAACAAGTCTCGCCATGGTTGCTTCAGAGACCAAGCCTCTAGGATGTTGACATGTCCCCAGTGGTTTTTCTTCGCATCCAATCTCCTCGCCAGATCCAGCATATCAGGCCTTAGTGTTTATATGGGGTTTAGGGCTTTGGGGTTTGGGCTTTGGGGAAGTTTGGCCCAAGATGCGGCACCAGCATTTCTGGTAGTTGAAGCAGGCGACCTTATTGCGGGGTTTGTCGAGGCAGGCAAAATATCTTTTGAAGCAACCCGGCGACACTTGTGGGTCAGGGGCTGGTCGTTGTGAGGAGGTTCTTTGTCGCGACCTGCATATTGGAACATGGCATTATGCACAAGTTGGTGCATACACTGCAGACACTAAAACTATTGCATCTAGGGCACATCTCCGGTAGATACGAATTGCAGAATATCTTCCACGGTCTTCCGAATATAGTCTATCATCCATTGCCCCGAGGATCCAGAACATCCAGATGATGCTGCAGAGTCCATTGGACCACAAAAAACATCTGAAATCCAGTGTCTGGGCAGGTAGATGTTGTTCAGGGTTTGCGATTTAGAGTTTAGGGTTTTAGGGGTTAAGGCACGGTTTGAAGTTTAGGGGTTTAGGGTTTAGGGAGGGTTTGTAAGGTTTTTCGATGAGGAGTTTGGGCTTTGCTGTGTTTCGGTTTTGCATATGTGTAGGGCAGTGTAGGGTGTGGGATTTAGGGTAATTGGGTTCGAAAACTTGAACTCAAGGTTGGGGTCTCACAATTGCAACAGAATAATGAAGCTTCCGGGATGCATAAAGATTGCTTCCTTAAAGTATAGCAAATAAGCTTGGATACTAAGATTGAGATAGGTTTGGCGCTTCGGGTTAAGGTTCGGGTTGCGACCATATAAGGATGCTTCCTCCCGAGTTAATGCAGACTGAGGGCTGAGGTCTGTGCTCACACATCATTCATCAAGCAAGGGATCTCATGCACATGTGGCGAGGCGAGGTTTGGATGGATGCAGATCAAAACTCTCGACATGCTAGGACCATCATTTTTCGCCCCGGGTCGCTCGCTCACACATATCTGAAAGCTACCGGCGATCCTTAACGACTGCATCTATAGCAGGCTGCAGGAAGCCCCTCTGAAAGGATAGATTGCCCGGGATTTACATGCTTGCTTTGAGCCCAGGTCTAGGTCGATAGGTCGATATAATGATCCGGGCAGACCCACTGCTGCAGTACGATGGATCGCAACCCCAGCCGAGGCCCTTCAGGCCCTTGCCCTTTTTTCAGGGGGCTGAACAGTCTCTTCAGCATCATCATCTTCCCAATCATCTTCACCATTATCTTCATTATTCTCATTCTCATCTGGCCACTCTTCTTGTTGCTCTGCATCGTCTACCTGAGTATCCAGATCTGCCGTAGCCTGCTTCTTCAGCTCTTCTTTTTCCCGTTTTCTCTTCTCCGAAGCTTTGCCTGATCAAGCAGATTTGGCGAATAGTGGCTTGGGAACCAGAGTGTAGCATGTGCAAATACAATACTATCGTTAAGCTGGGGCACGTCGCTCAAAGGTCTGGAACACACCCTCGGCATGTGCCACATCCTTCGCATATTCCTGGCCGGAAGCAGCAAGCCCTGGATCCCAATCCTATGTAGGACTACATTTCAAAAGCAAGGCCTGTAGCTGATGGGCTTTGCTGTCCAGGTACTCTCTGGCTTTGGAAAGTGGCTCGGATGAGAAGAGGAGTGTGTTGCACCTGAGAAAGCAAGCTAAGCATCGAGACCCAGAACCTCAAGCCCCAAAAGTGCACGAAAGAGAAGTTCGGATGCAGCAAACATGTCGTGGCAAGAAGCTCCCTCAGAATGCCGTAGCACTGGGTATTCACATCACCCATATGCTGGACGTCAGCCTCAGGATTTGTCTGCAAACAAACGAAAGGATGTGCCCACCGAAACCCTAAACCCTGAACCTTAAAATCCTGATCCCTAAACCCCGTGAGCAGCCTAGACTGCATGGACGACAAATTATAAGACACTGCTGGCCGGGCCTCCTGTCGCTTCAGCCCGGTAGACTTCAGGTTCGTGGCAGCAGTCAAGGCTTTGTCGCCCAATTGTCGCAGCCTCATGGCAAGCACAGAAGACGATTCGGAGTTGGGTTCAACGGGATCTAGCATAGCAACCGCACTGCGAGCGAGAATCTGTTGCAAGTCTCGCTGGAAGTCCTTCTTCTCCTTTTCTTCAAGCGTGAGTTCCTGCAGCTTTTGATTAAATACATGGGAAGACAAAGCATGGGGTAGAGACAAGAGAGAGAGAGAGAGAGAGAGAGAGAGAGAGAGAGAGAGAGAGAGAGAGAGAGAGAGAGAGAGAGAGAGAGAGAGAGAGAGAGAGAGAGAGAGAGAGAGAGAGAGAGAGAGAGAGAGAGAGAGAGAGAGAAAGAGAGAGAGAAAGAGAGAGAAAGAGAGAGATAGAGAGAGTGAGTGAGTGAGTGAGTGAGAAGAGAGCAAGAAGTCCTTCTTCCCCTTTCCATTTCCTCCTTTTCCTTTATTACCACCTCCCTTACCACCAGACTTCCCGGCTTCTCCGACACTGTTCCAACTGCCGGCGAACGAGTCAGCCTTGTTCTGCATGGTCTCGGCAAAGGCAGCTCTGGCAGCCTTGTTGGCCGGCAACTTGGCTCTTCCGGATGTTTTCGTGCCAACCTCCTTCGTCTTTGCACCTTAAAGGCTTCAAGTATTGGGGCGTGGGTGGTTTCGGGGTTCAGGGGTTAGGTTCCGGGTTGTAGGGCGTAGGATTATACAGGGTGGTAGGGTGCAGTCAGATTGAAAGGTTTGAATTTTGCAGTGGCAACTTAGAGCCAAAGGGCTGGAATCCTTGATGTCACGGAACACGGTATAAATCCTCATCTCGGGATTCTTCGGATCCTCGAACAGGAAACGTGTGCATTGCACAACATTTTATATGCATGCCGGATGACACGATGCGAACCGTAGTCCTGTGGGTGAGCAGTGCCACGTTGTTCTTAGCACCCGAAAAGACTCACAACTAGAAGCAAGCCATGCAAGGCGTCAACACAGCGATCATCATGGTGCACATGCAGAGGCCCCGACTGGCGACCACTTGCTCTTCCAAGAACTTCTGCTGGGCTTCTGTTGTGTACATCTTACGAAGCTCGCTTAGCGGCAGTGAGATCCAATTCTCCTTGTTGGTTTGTGTGTCCTTCCTTAGCATACATGTGCACATGCATTCGCGAGTGACATACTGTTGATGGTATAAATCCTGCATTACCTGAATGACCCTAAACTATGGGAATTATAGTATATTCCTTATTATGGGTCATGCAGGATTTATATCATCAACCGTATGTTATCTACGTGGGAAGATTGAATGCAGCTGGTTGTCTCAACATAGAACGTTTCGACTTCGATGTCGGGCATGTCCTTGTGCTGCACAAATGCCTTCAAGAAGGCAAACCTCAGCAGTATGGACAAGTGGTTATCCTATCACTGTGTAAGATGCTATATAAAGCAACAGAGGCATCCACTTATCGCCCGGATCTTTGGTCGCCTTCCATTTCTCAAGCAGTCCTGGTTTGAGTCCTGCCAAAGCATGCAGGGCTTTAGTTTAAAATAAGGGATAACTTCAGGGAGTGTTCAGGGTTTGTGCGGCGTCGGTCCATCTGAACTTTCGAACCGCCGTCGCATTGCTTCGTTCAGTCGCTTCCTGGTAGGCAAGTCTAACTCACCAGGCTCCGTCATTGCCAAAATCGCTTCGATCTTCTCCAACGAGAGTTTCTGCACCTTGCTATATGAGTGCTTTAATTTAAGCATAATCCAAAAGGTCACTGTATAGCTTCACAACATGCACGAACTGCTGCAGCTTCGTAGCAGCTGGCGAAAGGTGCTGCGACGAGGGCGTCTTTGCACCATGCCTGCAGGCGGGACTCAGAGTGCTTATAAAGAGGGTTTAAGTTTCGGGTTTAGGGATTAGGGTTCGGGGTTTAGGGTTTAGGGAGTGCTACTGTAGGGTTTAGGAATCGGGGATCGTCTAGGCTTATAGGCCTTGGGCTTCTCATTGGTATGCTTGTTTCCGGGGTGCACGACAGCTTGGATCGGAATACGGCTTGTAGGTTTTGGATTCTGTCGGTTTGGCTTTAGGGGGTCCTATGAAACCCAGCGATTCACTTTCCATAACCCCATATCCTAAACCCAATCACAATTAGTTGTGTATGCTGGTGAGGCACTCTGGCGTAGTAGTCGGATCATCTGCCATCTTGGCATCATCGTCGGGTCTAGGGCGTTTCAAGATCGGCGAGGGAGTTGACAACTGGCCTTGGGTAGATGCATATACGGTTTAGGGTTTAGGGTTTAGGGTTTAGGGTTTAGGGTGTGCACACATCCCCTCCCTCAACACTGCTGTGTGCAGCTGCGGTGCTGCCGGTGGAGTTGCTTTGATCTTCCCAGCTAAGCTTTCTTTTGGCTGAGTCATCAGGCTCTACCCGGGTTTTGGTTGCACCCTGGTCACCCTGGCCCTTTCCCGAACCTGCTTTTGGCGTCTCTTGGGGTGGGGGAGATTCCTTCTCGGCATCAGAAGCAACCTTTGCGGCCCCTTTCGACGGGGACTTGGCCTTTCCTTTGCCCTTCGTGGCTGGGGTGGCTTCTCCTGTGGCTTCGTCTTTTCCTGAACCTTTGGCCTGCGACTTGCCCTTTCCTTTGCCCTTGGGTGTGGCTTCTCCTGTGGCTTCGCCTTTTCCTGAACCTTTGGCCTGCGACTTGCCCTCTCCTTTGCCCTTCGGGGTGGCTTCTCCTGTGGTCTCGTCTTTTCCTGAACCTTTCGTCGCCTCAGCCTTCCCTTTGCCCTTTGGCGTGGCTTCTCCTGTGGCTTCGTCTTTTCCTGCACCTTTGGCCTGCGACTTGCCCTTTCCTTTGCCCTTGGGTGTGGCTTCTCCTGTGGCTTCGCCTTTTCCTGAACCTTTCGTTGCCTCCGCCTTTCCTTTACCCTTTGGTGCGGCTTCTCCTGTGGTCTCGGTTGTTCCTGAAGCTTTCGTCTGCATCTTGCCCTTTCCTTTGCCCTTTGGCGTGGCTTCTCCTGTGGCTTCGTCTTTTCCTGAACCTTTCGTCTGCGACTTAGCCTTTCCTTTACCCTTGGGTGTGGCTTCTCCTGTGGCTTCGTCTTTTCTTGAACCTTTCGTCGCCTCTGCCTTTCCTTTACCCTTGGGTGCGGCTTCTCCTGTGGCTTCGGTGTTTCCTGAACCTTTCGTCTGCGACTTAGCCTTTCCTTTGCCCTTCGGGGTGGCTTCTCCTGTGGCTTCGTCTTTTCCTGAACCTTTCGTCTGCGACTTAGCCTTTCCTTTACCCTTGGGTGTGGCTTCTCCTGTGGCTTCGTCTTTTCTTGAACCTTTCGTCGCCTCTGCCTTTCCTTTACCCTTGGGTGCGGCTTCTCCTGTGGCTTCGTTGTTTCCTGAACCTTTCGTCTGCGACTTAGCCTTTCCTTTGCCCTTCGGGGTGGCTTCTCCTGTGGCTTCGTCTTTTCCTGCACCTTTCGTCTGCGACTTGCCCTTTCCTTTGCCCTTGGGTGTGGCTTCTCCTGTGGCTTCGTCTTTTCCTGCACCTTTGGCCTGCGACTTGCCCTTTCCTTTGCCCTTTGGCGTGGCTTCTCCTGTGGCTTTGCCTTTTCCTGAACCTTTCGTTGCCTCCGCCTTTCCTTTACCCTTTGGTGCGGCTTCTCCTGTGGTCTCGGTTGTTCCTGAAGCTTTCGTCTGCGTCTTGCCCTTTCCTTTGCCTTTCCCTTTATTTCCCTTAGCTGCCTTGCCTTTTCCTTTACCCTTCGCCCCTGCTGCCTTATCCTGGCAGAAACCATGAAAGTAAGTCACAAAGATCACATATGCATTGCATGTGTGCACGATGACCATGATTACTTGGAAGGGCAGGTGACTTAGTAAGTAGGATATAAGGAGAGTTATAAGTGTATACGTACCCTAAATGGAGTTACCCCAATATATAACCTATATATAACCTACTTACTAAGTCCCCTGCCCTTCCAAGTAGAAGCAATCGACGAAATCCCAACCTTGAAGTCAGCTTCGGTGTAGAGGCCTCCTTCACCGTGTAAGCATGTCCCGTCCGGCACTTTGCCGGCGTGGGTCCAGGCATTATGGCCGTGCTGTTGCCACATATCTGTGAGCTTCGAAGAGTCCCAACTGCTTTCAGCCGGGGCCATGGCCCACGATCTAAGTGGCCTCTACAAACCCAGCCTTGATCCCCGAGCTAGCACCCATATACCGTGCACGTGCAGGCCATGCGACAGCGGTGGCATCGGTCGAAAACCTGTGCCTCAGAGTCAATAGTTTTCGATCCAGCAGATACACGGTGATACACGGTCAAAGTGTGGTCTATAGTAACGACTACACGCACATACACGGTGATACACGGTCGCCGGGTTTTCCTTTACGAATTAAAGAATATTTCAACTAGCAGACCAACCGTGTAGCTGATCGTGTTCATACATTGAATCAGAACGAAGCTTAAGCCATACCTGTATGCAGCTGGCTCCAATATGCATAAGATCTTCTCGGTTCAGCATAGATAACCATCGATCTCGCCAGCCTTGGATCATATCGAGGACGGGCATAGCACGATCAAAGACTATCACAGACCATACCGTGTACAACATCATGTGTATGGTGACAAATCCAGAGCGAAACAACCCCATAGCTGCAATCTCCAGGAGGCTTGTAGCTCCCAATCAGTTATAATCAGATCTCCATCAGATCTCCATTGATCGGTCTCCATCGTATACCAGAATCACCACATAGCCTGACAGCGGCAGAGCATGCAACAACTTATAAGATGTAAGGGTTAAAGAGTTTATGGGTGTAGGGGAGGAGCTTATAGGGTAGGGGGGCAGGGTTGGGAGTTTTCCATGTTTGGGTAATGGTTCATTGGGATCTGCGGGGGTTCTACACGAGCAGGCATTGTTCCAAATTGCCCAGGCTCCAAGCTGACAATCGCCGCACTCAATCCCGAGCCTAAGCCTAAGCTTCGAAGCTACCGGCTTCTCCGCCGATTATAAGGCAATAATGCATGTAGTTCTCAACATCACAATCTATAGGAGGCACACTTAAGTCCCGATGCCAAGGTTCCAAGAACACAATCGCCGAACTAAATCCCGACCCTAAGCTTCGAAGCTACCATATATAGTTCACAACATCGCAATCTACAGGAGGCACACTTACAAAGGTCCCGATGATCGCGACGAAATCTATACATGCGAAAGATTCAAAACTAGTCGTAGCAATTTCTTCACAGATTGCGGTGCCGCACATACCAGATAATGCCTCAGCATGCTCGTTTTGGATGCCCCACCAGGCTGAGCTTGATCTCAAATTTCAAGATCAGGTCGTCGCATACATGTGTATAAAGCTTATCGCCCTATGGCTTTTGGGTTGAGTGGGATGCACATTGGTATTTATGTATGGGTCATTGGGTCCTCTCCCGGGTCATTTGTATGGTTCTGCTGCTGGTTCTGAGGAACTATGCCATCGGTGCGGATGGTGGCTGATTCTGCTGCTGGTTCTGAAGAACTATGCCATCTGTGCGGATGGTGGCTGCGGGCTTTGGCATCGGATTCATATAGGGAAACATATAATAATTATGTAAGGTTATAGGGGTTGATACATCGAAGCCCCACTGGGCTTTAAGCCTGAACACGAAAATTGTAATGCAATCCATCATGGTCCTCGGGACTTCTGATCCTGTGGGAAAGAGAAACTTAAGCTAGCAAACCCCAATCCTGAAAACAGGGACACTTGAAGCCCGAGCACCAATATCAAAGCCAGGTCCCATCCAGCCCTGTAACCCTAAACCCAAAACCCACTGGGCTTTAAGCCTGATAATCTCAGAAGCCAGCAACAATCCATTATGGTCCTCGGGTCTGCAGATCCTATGGGAATGAGAAAAGCTACTAAACCCCAATCCTGAAAACATTGAAACTTGAGGCCCCAGCACTGCCCAGCACCAGTATCAAACCCAGGTTTCCAAGTCCTGTAACCCAAAACCCAAAACCCATAGAGGCTTAAGGTTCTCTGAAACCCAGCTACGATATTGGCACTGCACCATGGATGGCGCTTCAGTCTGGGGGCTGCGAAGTAGGACGAAAAACCCTAAACATTTCAAACCCAAAACCTTCAACCCTAAAACCTTAAACCCAAAACGAATCTTAAACCCTAAAGCCTTAAGCCCTAAACCCTAAAGTCTTATATGTAAACCCTAAGCAAGCCGGCCTGTGCCGAGGAACAACGAAATCTGTTGATCGCCAGCCACAACGAGATCTCTCGATCGCCACCGGCTGCAAGCTGCATGGCCTTGTCGAAACCACTAGGAAGAGAAGGGCCGACGGTGCAGGTGTTAACCCAAAACAAACTTTAAACCCTAAAGCCTTAAGGCCTAAACCCTAAAGTAATAAACCCTAAGCAAGCCGGCCTGTGCCGAGGAACAAGCAAGCAAGCCGGCCTGTGCCGAGGAACAATAGCCAAATTACACGAGTAACAACACAAAGCTTCTGCAAACTGGACTGTGCTTGCATACATTTTTCCGTCCCCCTCGCCATTCTGCTAATTAGTCGATCGTGATCGTGTCCATTCTTTGCGGTCTATGATCGCAAAACACGACGGATCCAAAACAGCTCTTTCTTCCTGCTAAACAAAGCAGATTCCGCCCTCAGCCGTTCAATCTCCAGCTCCAAGTAGTACCCCCGGACTTCGATGTAATCGGTAAGGGAGGTTTCCCTTAGAGAACAGAGCCCCCGGCATTCAATATAATTGATCGAGAAGAGCCGCCTCCCTTAAAAACACCGAGCTGAACGATCGAGCCAAGGTTCCCAGTCTGCTCTTCGAAGCATCTGCACCAAATGGTTACCAGCTGCTTGCTCAAGCGAGCCGGAGCTCCACAGGCACGAAGCTTTCGCAGAAGGATTGTGTCGTCCATAATTGGGAGCTTATAATGGGAGCTTGAGCCAAGTAGCTAGGCATAGGGCGGTGGCAGTACTGTTGGCAAGTGCAGCCTACTAGCAATAGCATAGCGGTCAAAGGAGCAGTGCGAGCCTGCGAACCCAGGATCCTTCATAGACCATGGCTGAAACCCTTGCCACAACGAGTGATGCACCCCTGTTTGTGCACCCTGCCCCCTCTAGCCCGTAAGACCCTATAAACCATAAATTTAATGCCCGAAACCTTACAAGCCTAAGCCTTCTCAGGTATGGAGCCGAGATGCCAGAGTCGCTGCAAGGACCCGTGCCGAGCTTCACGAACATCACTTCCCAGAAAGCTTACACATGCCTGCATGTTACTTTTGAAGGCACTGCAAACCCCTTGCGTGCCATTGCCTCTCAAAGCCTGGGCTGCAGAGATTCTCGAAGCCGTTCGCCAGCAGTTTTTAGTACTGTAGATATATGCAGGTAGGCATACTGCATGGAGCCTGTAACATACATCGATCCCGAACAGCCCAGGGCTTTATCAAAAGCGGGGAACTGGAAAGGCTCACAGCCGCCGACGTTTCAACTCGTTCTCGTCGTATCCTAAGATCGCGAGGACGTTCGATCGCTCCATCGACTCCATCCACCTCGTGTCCATGCATCACATTAAGAAGTAGGATTCGGAGAGGCAGTTATTGTTTGTTGCACCTGCACTCGATCTTGAGGCTCCCTAAACTCGAAGGCAATTGCAGGGGAATTCTAGGGCCTAGGAGTATACCTCAATCCATGCAAGTTCCTACAACTTTTGCGAATCCCTCTGTGTCTCTGCGGGCCGGCCTCTGCTGCTTTCCCTTTGCATTGATGACTCCAGGGCCGTGGGATTCGTCGATCCTCAGGTGCTGCAGCAATAACTCTTCTATGGACAGATCCCAGAATCTACAGCGTCTGCGAATCCTGTGAAACACATGCTGTCGAACTCTAAACAATGCAGGAAAGCAACATATTGAAGAACTCCTTCCTTTTGATGTTGTAGGGCGTATCCTTTCTGGTCTTCTTCGCCTTTGCTTCTCCCTTTGCTGCTGCCGCCTTTGACTTTGCTTTTGCTTTGGGTCTTCCTTTCGCTTTACCCTTCGCCTTGGCCGATGCTTTTCGCTGCTCGACTAGGTTTCGTTGAAGCTGAGGATTAATGCAGCATTGCTGGGTGCTGGTGAGTACTGTGGCGATTTGTGGCCATTGTTCGAGAAGTGAACCATCCAAATCGAAGGGTGCCTCATATAAATGCTCAGTGTGATGGAGCACTCTTGGTCAATCATATACATTGCATGCATGTGCAACCACTCCTTTGCCGGTGGGCTGCAGGACCCTCGACGGACCTTTCTTTGGATAGCCTGGCCTGCGTGAGAGAGCCCGGTGACTTATATGATCGTGTTTACTAGCACTGACGATCAAGATCTTGGTATATATAGACTTTCTCTAGAGCATCTTACTCGACTCCAGGGCCAGAGTCTTGGGCCCCAAACCTGAACGTCATATCTAGGACCCTGTATGTCTATCATCTTACGTTAGAAGGGGCCTCCACCCTGTAATAGTGACCATAAGGATTATATAGGATTATATTAGGGCCCTATTATAGTCCTATTATTATACCACTAATTACAGGGTGGGGGCAACTTCTAAATCTTACGGTTAAACCCTTGGCAGTTCTAAATCCTAGCACGGACACCCCGAAATCCCCGACACCCAGCTCAATAGCTAGTCGAAGACCTTGCCGGTAATCAGTGTTTCGAGCCACTATAGAACTACAATAAAGTAGGTTAAACCAGACCGAAAGAAATACCTAGGATACCTAAGTTACCCCGAGCCACTACGAAGACCGATCTAAGTTAAACCCAACAAGAAAACCTCGAAGCTTCCATCAGGCTTTCAGAAAAAGTGCAAGATTCCGAGATCCATCTAGCTAGTCGACGACTTTGCCCGGAAGCCATCAATAATCAAGTATAATAACCCAAACCACTAGAAACACCTAAACTACCTATCTCACCCCGACCTGTAATATCCTCAGTAAACACCACAAGAGAAAGCCCCGAAGTATCCAGCCCTCCGAAAAGATACCAGGTTCCATGATCTTGCAATTAGCACAAATGGTTCCATAGTTGAATCGGCCGTGCCTCGGCCGGCGGCTTTTCGTCCGCCATCGATTCGCCACTTTCCTTCGTCACCTGCGGGAGGAAATAGGGTTTGCTAGGAAGGGTTTATAAGCAGGGGTAAGGCTCAGGTTTGCTTACTTCAGACTCTGCCTCCTCCTGGGGTGCTTCGATCGCCTGCGGCTCCTGTCGGGTATGGCCGAACACATATTAGGTCAGCATCGGGTTCGGGTTTCAGTGGCAATCTGCAGTGGCTTCGATCAGACCATGTGCGATTCAGTGATCGGAAACCGTGCCTCTTCTGGCTGGGGCTTCGTATCCTGTCGAATGTGCAGGGCTCAATCACAAAATGGGTTAGCATCGGGTCTCGGGCTTGATAGGTGATCTCTAGTAGCAATTAGAAGATGCGAGATTCAGCGGAGCCGATCACACATTCAGAAGGCAACACTGCCCCAGGGATAAGGGCCGACTATAGGGCTACAGTATTTGGGCGTTCAGAAACTTAAAGTGGCCTTTAGGAACAACCGGGTTTTAGGGTCAGGTAGGGTCAGCTTCTTCATTAGTTTCTTCAATTCGCCGTGTTATCATTATCGATCACTATAACTGGAGCCTGCAGTGCGACTTATTCTACTCAAGGCACGTGGAGGCTCGAGTTCGCTGGAGTTTAGGAAGGTTCAAATTTTAGGGTCATATGTGTGCAAATTAATGGTGATGTGGAAGCATGACAAAACTCCAAGTCGGGCCTCCTTGTCACCGGAGCCAGCTGGAGGGCTATCCCAGACCTGGGCCAGGACTGTTTCCGGTATTGTTTGTGGCAACCTGGAACCTGCTGCAGAAAAAAGCTGCACACCGTAAACCCCAGAAAAGTAGCACTCGATGACCTCAGCATTTCGTCCGAGGGACACTCGCAATATCGGCCCACATTTGTTTGGTCCATGTGGGCTCCGGGTTGATCACGGGCTTGACCTACAAGCGAGAATATCTATAGTTATAATATGTGCAGTAGCAAACGGCGTGGGGATCGGTAATGGCCAAGCCTCATCTTCGTAGCCTTCTTCGGGCCACCCATCCTCGATAAAGTCCGGATCCTGCCGAAATATAAATCCAGCTTCGAATGGATGGGCTATGTCAGCTCTACTCATGAAATGTTTCTCCAATGATTGGTCCTGATCCCACCACTCCTCATCAGCGGGGTCGTTGTCGAGGCCTGTTCTTTTCAACTCCTGTTGCCGTCACTATATGTATGTTCATGGCAGGATTTAGCATTGTCCTCGGCCCACCATTTCTCATCGTCGATTTCGTCGGCGCCTTGCTTGTCCTTTCCTTCTTTGACCTGTCGGCAATCTTAGGTGTGCATCCAGAAACTCAGATCAGTGGCAAAGCGGGTCGATCCTCAGCAGAAGGAGTCTGCGTGTCGTCCTGTCGGGTTGCGACTGAATCTGGAATACAGATCTGATACGAACCAATAAACATCGACCTGCCTCTGGCCAGTCATCATTCGGCGCTGTGGGCTCCTACAGCGAAACACGGACTGCATGGGCCCATGGAATTTACTTGCATGGGTCCTTTGCAAAGATCGTACCCTTCTCTTCGGCTTGGGCTTCGTCCTGCCATAAACACTAATATAACCTGACTCACAAGCAAACACCAACGAAGTCCTCCTCCCATTCATCTTCCTGAAGATCTTCTTCTTCTCCAAGGTCCTGTCATAGGCACTGACCCAAAAGTCCAAAGATGCATACAACTGAATTGCAAAGTCCTCGACCCAATTGTCGTCTTGCTCGGCAACTGCGGAATCGGGCCCATCCTGTCGCAAAGCCAAAACAACCGAAAGGAACACAGTAACACTTGGTCCTCAGCCCATTCTTCGTCCCATGGTCCATCTTGGTCTTCAGCTTCGTCCTGTCGTCTCAAATCATGACAGTTTTCAAGTGCAAGTAGCAGGAGCCCAGTCCTCAGGCCATTCTTCATTGTCCTTCCAAGGAACTTCGACCTGCCGTGACCAACGTTCGAATGGGCGAACATGAAATACAAATTATTGACCCCTGATGCTATCGGCCTTTGCTTGATCTTCCCATTCCTCATCCCAGGCCTGAAGCACTGCCATATGCTCATGGAAAGCTGAAGCCGGTCCTGCTCCACTTGTTCTTCTTCCCAATCCTCGGCATTGTCCTGCACAGATGGAATCGCACACTATAAGCCTCAACCGAATCTTGAATCCTTATCAGCCTGAGCTAACCCTGAATCCTACGATCATTCCAGAACTATATCCCGCCATAATCCCAAATCTTGAACCCCTATAACCCCTGATGCTGAATGCCCAGAGCTCAGCCTCGTCTTCAGCATGTGGGCCATAATCATCGCCCCATCCATCATCGTCCTGCATGAGTGCCACTTTATTCCAACCATTTCGGAATATATTATCCAAGGTTCCTCCACTTCCGAATGTCCCGAGCCGGTGGATAATGTCCTCAGGTAGCCACAGCATAAACCTGTAAGCTTAGGGTTTAGGGTTGGGGATTCTAGAACCATTGAAATCAGAAGTGGCACGTCTTTGCCCGCAATCTCGTCAAAGGTGGCATAGCATCCTCAGATTCGATCTTAATCAAGCTTGGCGTGAACGACTATCGAGCCGAATAGAGCCGAGGGTCATCGGCCAAAGCATGGCAGTCGCCTTTGAGAGCCTGAAAACACCCGGTCTCGAACTGATATTCTTAGGCACTGCACGAGCAATTTAATTGCAGCTGGAAAACAGTCCATACTGAGACGTCATCAAGATCAACCTGAGATTCGAATTTAAGCAAGCTTAAGGTGTGAGCCACTACCGAGCCGAGGGTCGGCCAAAGCATCGAAGTCGCGATCATCATCAGCCTCAAAACACTCGGTCTCAAGCCCATGTTCCGACCACTGTCAATTCCATTGCAGCCGGAAAACGATGCATTTATCATCCTCTTCATCAGCAGCATCCTTGTAGGGGGCGTGGGGCTCGGGGCTCGAATGCTATAACCCTAAAGCTCAAAACACCTCTTCGATGGCAGCCTGGTCGACATCGGGTGCCCAATCTTCCTATGCATTTCCAAAATGCAGCCACAAAGCCGCCTCGCCATCGCCAGTAATCTTCTCGTCATCGTAGTCGTCCTCCTCGAGGTAAGTTCGGTGGCACTGATATGAGCATGCACAACTTTAGATTTGAGCCCTGGCCACATCAATTTCTGATACATGCTCGACGGTCCTCGGGCAACTGAGTCTCATCGTTGTCCATGGCGATGGAGCGACGAGCTTTGCACAACAGCCGTTGCAAGGTTTTGGCTTCGTTGTCCAACCAGGTATGAAATTTCAAGCCTGGAACCTCAGGGAGTTTCAGGTGAGTATGCTGTTTAAACATTAAGCGAAGGGCCTCTCTGACAGCTCGCACGGTGAAGAACCTATTATTATGCACCGCAAGGACCCACCGAAACTGTGCACGATTCTTCTGGGTTCTGAAGTGATGCACCGTGGTGGTTCGCCCCGTCCTGAGCAGATGCCCTGGGTCAACCTGATCGTACAGGTTGTCGCAGATGACCCTCGCTTTAAGCCGGAAAGCCGGGGCTTGCCAAGCCATATATGTTCCCTGCTACCAGCTATGAATAGAAGGCTCTATCAGGAAGCTCGATCTGCCCTCGAATCTTGGCAAACATGCCCCGGCAGCCCCGGCATTTCCGACCAAAACCCTGTGATCCCAAAATGCGAGGCAAACATGCTTTGCAAATGACCAAGCACCAAATCCAATCCCGAGCCTTTATAACACCAGATATTCTATATCCGTATATATGGTACACCCCATATAACCACTTAAGCCCCCCTAACAAATCCCATCCCCAACCTTTGTAACAACAGATATTATATTTCTATATCCGTATATATTAATTGTAAACCCCATATAACCATAAAAGCCCCAATATAATGACATAGAAACCCTCGATCTTGCCAATGGCAAACTGCTCCGAACCTGAGCAAAGAAATTCCCGGACCCTGTATTGCAGCCGCACACCACAATCCCGCCATCGTGCCCAGAATCACAATATTTGATTTCTACTTGAAAAAAGTAGAAACCCTCGATCTTGCCAATGGCTAAACTGCTCCGAACCTGAGCAAAGAAATTCCCGGACCCTGTATTGCAGCCGCACACCACTTAATCCCATCGTGCCCAGAATCGCAATGTTTGATTTCTACTTGAAAGGGGTGCCTAAAGATTCTAAACTGTATGGCCGGACTGATTCTTGATATATATGTATGTGACTATCTCTCGTCTTCTTCTTTTTCAACTATCCAAATCGCACAATGTCTTTGTCAAGCGGGGCCTCTTCTTCAGCAACACTGTTTATTTCGACATGTTCCGATCTAAACATCCATCATTTCAATCTATTGCCTGTTCCAGTTTCTATACGAGCAATGAAAGCATTCATCCTTCTTAGTTGAAGCATACCCTATAGCGACGACTATCGTTATAGAGTCGACTGTCTATTATAGTGACGATTGGGGCGTGCTGGCAGATAAAGGTGACGTCAGGGCACTCTTTCGTCTCGCCGCCAGTCTCTCTCCGCAGAAACGGCGCCCGCGTCTTCAGCTGCGAGGGCCCCAGGGCGAGCTTTGGACGCCCCAGCAACAACTGGACTGCTTGAGACGACACTATGAGGCCCTATATGCATCTCCGGACACCACCTGCACCACGACTTCATCTACCGGTCCGCCCCTACCTACCACATCTACATCCGTTTCCTTTCCTGATACATACACACATACATACATACATACATACATACATACATACGTACATACATACATACATACAATATATATATATATATATATACACAAACGTATGTAGATGCACATGTGTCTCTATATATATGTACATCCGCATATCGAATCACAGAGGCTACTGCACACACTGCTCTTTTTCACAACGCCAGTGCTGTATCAGCCTGTAGAACCCGCAACTACGGGAAATGCTTTGGTAAAACATCCGGATGAATGAAGCTAGCAACCCCGGGTCGACTCCGGGTTGCAAGCCCCACCCCGAACCCACTCGGTTCGGTATCCCAATGCACTAGTCCCAAAGCACTTCTACAGAAACTGAAACACCAGCATGGCCGGCACCAGAGGCAAAGACCACACCTCGGTCGGAAAAAGAGCGTGGTGGAGGCAGAAGCCGCGAGAAGCGGCCCAAGGATCCGACGCCCCCAATCGACTGATTGAGTCGGACCAGTTGGACTTGCTGGGCACCCACTCCCAGTAAACCCAAAGTTGAAGAGAAAAGAGTGCCATATGAATGAGGTGCGCAAGTCGCTAAAGGTCAGGAGAATCTGATCGCCCGCGAATAAGTGCCATGAGAGCCGCCACATTGTCGATGTACCAAGTGCCACGGCGGAAACGAAAAGTGGAAGCCCGGGCTGTGAGGGCAAACAGGACCATTGAGAGCTCGAGTTGGGCGATTTTGATATCGCCTGGAAGAAAGGCGTCATAGGTATGCCGGTCAACCTGAGCCCGTGCCCTTACGCGGCTCGTCCTCCGCGGCGTCGCTGGCGGCAACGAAACGGGCGCAAGAGGAGGGAGGGAAGCACCTCCACGGCCCGACGGGGCCGTAGCGACAAAATGGCTCGGATGACCTCAAAGGACGAACGGATAGCCGGGGTCAACTCCCGGGCTGCCTCGTACTGGCGTTCCTTAAGGGCACCGATACCCCCTGTGCCAATACGTCCATACACCCCTTGTTCGAGAAAGTTAAGCATACCATACAGCTTCGAAGCCAAGCCTGGCGGGAGACAGCCATCCTGCTCGGCTTGATGCAAAAGGCTTTCGACCTTCTCCTAGAGCCTGGCCCGGACCCAGAATTTCACGACGTGTTCACTCCCCACGTCGCGGAAATTATCCCACTCCAACCCGAGGAAGTCGCCGACCATACTCATCGACTGTCGCTTAGCCTCTGCGAAGGGGGAGCCCAAGAGTTTGTTGACTTCGGAAAAAGCAAACTGGGCGGAGCCTTTGGCAGAAGCTGGGTCTGTAAGATGCGCGTCATCGAAGTACATAGATACCAGGACACAGACAAGCCGACGGCCCACCGCTTCAGAAAACCTGCTGAGCCGATTGAAGCTAGTCACCGCAAGCGGGAGCCCAAAGAGGAGGCCTGAGTACACCTGGTACGCCGGCTGGGCCCAATCCTTGTGGTACCACACCACCACACAGGCTCTGGACTGGTCCTTGTCCATAGGGCAATGGCGATAGGCGTCCGGCAACTTGTTTGAGTCAGAGCTAAGCTCGCTCTGTCCGCCGTGGTCCGCGTTGTCGATCACTCTCTGCTTGCCGGAGGCCTGGGAAATCACGCACCGTGGTATTAATCGAATTGGTTTGCCCTTGGTGTGACGAAGAAGCAATGGTGCCGAACAGAAGCCCGCCTCGAAGTCCTTAGTAGATTGCTCCAACAGAAAGGCATCATGTGGCCCTGGCCGAATAGAGCCCTGAATAGCCTTGTTATGGGAATCCACATTCTCGAAGAGCCGGTGGAGCGGGATAGTGTCGAAGCTCTGTTGCGGAAAGACACCACACGGAAGGGAAGTGCCGACCGCCGGCATGCCGAACAAAAGATGCGAAGGAAGAGTAGTATCCGGCCACGACAGAAGAACAACAAAGAGACTGAGCAATCCTAGGTCGCGCTGAGCCGTGACCTTCCGGACCGCCGGAGTCTGGAGCTTACGCAGGTGGTCCCCCACTTGGCTCCAACGGTGCTTCAGCTCCCGAAGCGGGCGGACACACTCGCGCCTCAACTCGCGAAGACGGCCAAGAGAACCGACAGTCATCGCTGCCGCGAAGTGGAGGTCCTGATCCAGGACCGGCGGGTGTTCTGTTGGCAAGGGGTCGTCTCCCCTAGCCAAGGCCCGCTCGAAATGCTCGTCCGGGGACAGGCCGAAGGGGAGAAGGGGGGGAAGCGCCGCCCTTCCTGAGAGCGCCCCTGCCTGCTGGCCCTCCGCCGTTCGCTGCATCAACCTGCAGGCGGGATCAGAGAGAGAAGGGCCCAACGCGCCATCCCAGCGAATCACTGTTCACCAGATCCTCGATGAAAGGAAAGACAAAGCCGCGGAAGGCCGAGGAAGGAAAAAGGCTACGGAAAGCCGTGATGACAGACTCCTGGGAGGAATAAGGAATAAGGGATAACATGGGCAACGGATGCCAGTAACTGGGTGAAGGTGGCCCACACGGCACTCCATGCCGGGACTGGCCGACCCTTCCAACCACCCTCACCCCGACACGATGCCAGCTGGTACCACACGAGGCCTGCCAAGATGTCCCTTTCACACAAAGAGCCCAAGGGGCAGTCGCAGACCAAAGTGGCACCCCGCAACTCGGGGAGAGATGTCCAGAAGTTGTCAAGGATGTGCTCGACAAAGAGATGCATCCACTCGGAAGGGGTGCAATCGTGCCCCGGCGTGAACGGGGAGCACCATTTGGTGACCGGAAGCCTGCGAGACCTGTACTCCCAGGGGTCGCTCCCCTGAGGCATGTGGCGGTGGTGGCATCGAACTGAAGGCCACTGTTGGAGCTCGGCGACATTGTGCCGAAGAAGTCTGGTGTGTTTGCGCGCGTCGAGAAAGACACAGGAATCGTACCAAAGGTCAAGCCGCGACTGTCTCAGGAGGAACCCCCTCCTGGACGACAGCGGCCCCTCTGGAGGCACAGCCCAACAACATTTGTTCGAAGGTGTGCAGCGAGTATGGCGGGGGCGGTGCCAGCCCTGTCCGTACGCAATCGGGCTCTTCGATCAAGCGGTCTGCGACCAAAACTCTCCAACCGCAGCACCGGAAGGCCCGGCCCAAAACCATGTCATCGCGGTGAAGCATCACCAGGCAGGGGGTCAACTCCCCTTCGAAGGGGGAGTCGGCGACCCCAGCTGCTGGGCCGGGGCCCCATCACGAGCTCCTCGCCTTGGCCTTCGCCTTGCATTTGGCCGCCCCATGGTTGGGCGCTCCGCAGACCCTCTCGGCACGGAAGACCACGGCGCAGCGATAGGCCCCATTCGGGCACGGGGGTGAATGCTTGCAGGAACTTTTCTGGAAGTCGCCGCACAGCCTCGTGCCGTCCTTCATGACGCGGGCCGTGGGCTTACCTCCCACCAAGGGGCCTGCGACAAACAAGGAAGAAATCTTGGTGGGCTCGGTGGCAACCGGCTGGGGCTTAGGCGCGACCGGCCCCGCCTCCGGAAGCACTGGGGCCAACCAATGGGCGTCTCTCGCCGCCATCACCTCTTTAATAACTGCGCCGAGCGTCCGGGTCCCCTCCCAGAACCGCGAGACCCACTCCGCTCGCTCCTCAGCGTCGCTATGCTGGAGCCAGCTCAATCGCTGCACGGGCGGGGCCTGCATAGCAGCCTTGCGGGCCCTGTAGTAGTATGCCAGCACACAATCCAACGCGACCTCGACGAACTGGCAAGTATTGGCACCCAGCGCTTTTTGCCCCGACGGGTCAACTCCCACTATCACCTGCACCCCATTGAGCGCATAGGCAATCATTAGCGTGTGGAGCTTGTGAAGGTACGTGTCCACATCCCTGGCAACCACCTCGTCGACCTCGGGCTCGTCGGTATAGAGGCCGTCTGCCAGTTTGCGCCGCTTTTGCGAGGTGCCCAATTGAAATTGGAGGGAGCGCACTCGCCACACGTCATAAATACAAAGCATCCTTTTTGTCAATTCCCGAGCAATGCGGGATAGGAGGGTTGCACTTCGGCCGGGAAGCGCAACTTGTAACGAATCCAAAAAGCTTCCTTCAAAGTGCGAAGTTCGGAGTCCGCCAACATCGAGTCGAGGTCGGCCAAGGCAACCTTAGAGCGGTCTTGCTCCGCCTGGGCATAGTATGTACATGTTGCCTTCCACGCCCTGCGAAGGCGGGCGGTTTGCAACATAGTAGCATCCCCCAGGCCCAACTTCCCCACCCAGGTGCCCACGGCTGCCTCGTTCTCGAACAGGAAACGAAACTCTTCAAGGTGGCCGATCCCAGTGCCGAGCACTTCGGTGACAACCTTAGCATCCAATCCGAAATTCATTTGCAGGCTGTCCAAGCTCGCTTTTATGTCCTGCTCCACTCGAGGGACAAGCGAAACTGACGACATGGAACCTACGTCGAGGTCAACCCCTCGAACAAGCCCGCGGTCAAGGGGCAAACTCCCCGCCCATTGCCAACCTCCGCGAACCCCTCGGTCCGCTCCGAGGTAGCGGTACCTTCGAGCAAGGCAAGGACTGACTGACCAGACCAAGGAGAAGAGGAAGAGAAGGAGAGGGAGAGCAGCAGGAAGCATGTAGGGAAAGGGGGCAAGGGACGAGGTGCAGGCACTCAGTCACGACTGTAACACCACAGCAACTGCTCCTACACTCTGCGGCCCGAGCACCCTCTTTTTTCCACGCTCCTCTTGCTAAGATACGGTACCAGCCACGGCGGGCACACGGGGCACCCACAAAATAAGATTTGCTGGTGGCGAACTGGTCGACTTCGAATTACCGGCATATAGCGGCGAAAGCCTCGCTTCGTCGAGGTGCCTATGCCGGGAAATACTTTGAGGATGCCCGAGAAAAGCAGCCCTCACAGATGGGTCGCTCCCATCCAATGGCCTCTAGCTTGCTAGTCGTGCGCTGCGGGTTGGTCAACCACCTCGATCTCCCGAACTTTCAGGATCGCCTGGGTCCCCTGGGTCGCCTCCTCCTGGGTCTCGCCTGCCAGCACTGCCCGGCATGCCACGCCGGTAGTCGCAGCTCTGTGCCGCCCCGCCATACAGTGAAGTAAAACGTTGTGGCCGGCCAATAACGTTCATGCCACTTCACTGAAGATGCGGAGCCAATCCTCCTCCCTGGAACGCTTGGCCGACACGTTGAAGAGGAGGTTGCGGCTGCAGACGGATATTCCCCCTCTTTCTGGAGATGGATCGTCGGGAACTGTCCGCTCCAGCGGCAAGCCGGACAGGAAAAGCCTCCCTCCCGCCGGGGACTCCCAGATGCAAGTCGGCCGCTGGACCGGGCGCCGGCCTGCCCAATTGTCGAAAGCCGCCTGGTTCTCCGTCTCTGTAGGGTCCGGCGCCGGCCTGGCCCTCAGAGTCTTGGGCATGGCCTTGATTTTTGGGACCGAAGAGCTGCCTGAGCCACGGCCCTCTGAGCTTGTAGCGGCGGCCGTATCAACCCGGCGTGCCGAAGCCGACGCCTCCCGAAGGCGTCCCGCGCCTGCTCCTGCCCCCCAAGGTAACGCCCCAGAGGGAGCGGCGGGGCCGCATCGCCGCCTGTTGCTACCCTCCTTCTGGAATGCCTCCGGGAAGCAGGTGCCGGCACGGGCGATTGCTGGGGAATGATGTAATCGTCCGGCAGGCCATATTTCTTGGAGCGGCATTCGAAGGCTGGATGCTTCCCGCCGCAGACCCTGTCTGCGGAGAGCTTGGCGGAGGCGCACCTGGCAGGAAAGGGCAGCCGGAGCCACGCCGACAGTTCCCAAAGTTGAAGCTGGTGCACAAGCGGCTGCCGTCCTTGAGGGTCTGCGACGTTTTATGCCGACCAATGCAAGGCGGGTCCCTGCCAAAGGACCTCCTTGTCTGCCTTAACCTGTGCCTCGCAAAGGGACTGGGCCAAAGTGGTGTGCTCCGCAACGTCCTGCGGGGTCACCGCGTCCCACGTAGGATAGGCGCGCAACTCCCCCATGTAAGCCCACACCAGGTGCTTAACCCGGACGCTCTCCTTGTAGCGCAAGCCACTATAGTGGACGGGCATGGCACTCCTCTGGTCCGAGACTCGGTCCTGCCAATCCCCCAGGGCGTTCGACTCGCCCGGAGAGAGTTGCGCCAGCATAGCCAAAGAGGGGCCCAGCCGACGCCAGCTATAGGAGCTCCGGATTGGCCACAAAAGGCAGCTGAAACCCTCCCCGGCTCCACAGTCCGTAGCGACGCACGGGACCGTGCGAATAGGTGGCATACCTGCAGGCAACCCATCGAGCAAAGGCGGAGGGGGAGGGTAATGTTGGACCTCAAGGGCGGAAGCCCAGAGGCGTGCAGCATCCCAGTTCCGACCCTCGGAAACCAAATACCGAAGCTGAGCCCTGAGATCCAACATGGCCGCAGGATGCAACACCTGGGCCTCCGTGTGAACAGCAGACCGGCTGAACACATGTACGAAGAAATCAGGAGACCCCTGCTCAAAAGCATCTGCCATAATAAGCGGGGCACCACCGCAGACTAATGGCAACAAAATCCTGCCTTTTTGGCTCAACTGCCAAGGCTTGAACCAAAAGGCATGATATCGATCGCAGATGATACATGTGCACCCAAGCCTGCCAAACTCTACACATGGCATATATACATACATGTACTTTCGAGACGTGTGCCTCTCTCTGCCACCACGGGCTATTCGATGCTTGCATCCCAATCACTAGTTCGTTCCTGTTCGCTTGTTAGATCCTGTGTCGAAAACTTGTTGTTCGAGTGAGTGATTCTGTCCATCGTTCCGTACCGCAGAGACAACAAACCGACCATATTTCTGCGCGATCGAGAACCATCAAGAACGTAAATGTACAGTCCATGTACAGGGCATTACTGTTTCACCCCTACTATATACCGAGTATCACGCGACGAGGATCGCGGTGTGATACTTCGACGGGAGAAAAAACAAAAAGACCTTAAATCCTTAAGACACCACAAATACATAACTCTTACAAATATACCAGGCTAACTATACATATATATATATATATACATACACAGCTTTTATACATAACAATATATTTCTGTCAGATAGTTGGACCACGGATCGGTCCGAGTTGGAACGAGCCCTTGCTGGGCATTTCTGGATCGAGGCGATTGTCGGTGCTGTTCATCAGATCACATGCATGTGTGCTTGCATGCATGCTGCAGTTCGACCATTGATCGATGGAAACGAATGCGCCACAGGGTTTTTGATCGAGCACCGGCCTGTAGCATGTTAAATCGAAACATGTGCAGCATGTGATCCTGCATGCATGCAGCAGTGTATATTGCACTGTACGTACGGTGGAAATCATTGCATCCAGACCTGCACTGTAGCTAGCCATGCCCTCCTACGTTGCTGAGCAAAGTCGCAAGCAGAAGGATTAACGTCTTCATCACCATTGGGAACCCATGGCTCCTCATCGGGAGCCCACTCCTCCTCGCCAGCCCAGTCCTCATGATCATGACTGGCGCCGGTTTCCCACGGCTCCGTGTGATCGGGGCCTTCATTGCCATCGGCAGGATCTTCATCGGCGGCTTCATCACCACCATCGGCCCCAGCGCTCTCACCCACGGGAACAAACCACATCTCCACCGGGGGCTCATCACCCACGTGCCACTCCTCTCCGTCGAACCAGTGGCATGACCCGCATTTGGAAATCGCATCCTCTGTATACTATCATAGCCTATCCCTACCTACCCCAAAACCCAACCAGCTTTAGGGTTTAAGTTTAAGGTTTAGGGTTCAGGGGTTGAGGATTTATGAGGGTCCTATTGGGCCCAGGTTAAATATTCTACTCGGGATTGATAATTGCAAACAGTCCTCAGGGCCATCATAAATCTCACGAACCTGCGACGCGTCCTTCCACGACCAATCGTCACTCGCCTCGGATTTGCAGGAGGACCGGGTCAACATATATAGCAACTCTACATACATGTCTGTATGCATCCGGAATAGTGCAAACTATGTCACCTTTGGCATATCACTCTCCCCATCCTTGGATAACTGACCGGGTCAAGCATTGCACACTGCATGCGAAGCGCACTCAAACTGCGAGTAATATATACCGTGCTATTCAAAGAAACCTTGGGAACAGGAGCAGCGACGCCATCGCCAAAAGCATGTTCATCTTCATCACCCCATTCCTCTTCCGGATTTTCCCCCTCAGTTGCACAAAGTATATACAGCCGGATCGAACTCGCAACAAGTCTGAATACCTAGCCTTAGGGTTTATCTATTGAATTGAGCAACCTCGACGTCGGTATCAGGAATGCAAAGGTGGCTCGGCCTCGGATCACGCACACAAAGTCACATTGAAACAAACCTTGAATTTAGCGGTCTAGGGGCACATAATGCTCGGTCCCGGTTGCGTCTTGGCACGTAAGCGCAGGCGTTTCGATGGCTGGAGATCGGCAGCCTTATTGAAATTGTTTGGTTGGATGTATTCACTACCAAGTAGATATTTGGTAGCTATAGTCGGAGGCAAGACACACCCATGTCACTGGAAGATCTTTTGTTGATCAGTGGCACCTGCGCGTCCTGCCCGGGGCTAGTCTATCAACATTCAGCACAATTTCTCGCGAATACGAAACTGGATAGAAGTGATTGCTGGTACAGTATGGTACAGTCCTCCATTGGATCTAGCTCCCAAGGCTGTGTCTCACCATCGTCCATGGCTTCGTCGTCTGATTTAGCAGATCCAACAGTACTCCTTCGGGCCTTCGACAACAAACTCGCCAAGCTATCCGAGGTGGTGGTGTACCAGCTTTCCCAACTAAAGCCGGGGGTAGTCTCGGGGACCTCGAGAGCATGGCTATCCACAATCTTGACCAATGCATCTTTGACCATGCCAGTGGTAAACCACCTCCCATCTAGCTGGCTAGCCCAACTCAGGAGCTCCCTCGTGGCACGATGTCGAAGGCTGTTAGTGGGTGTCAGTACCCCTGTTTCCCGGATTTCACGTAAACGAGGCTGGCATACCTTCTCCCAGATCAACTCAGCCAGTCTCTCAACAAGCCGAGCACTTGGGTGAGAGTTGGGCTGCTGACGATGAGCAGCAGTTGACTGCCCAGGACGAGCCATGGCCTGCCGATGATCCCAGTCACCAGGCGGAGCCGTGGAAAGCTTCCGATGATGACGGCCCCGATGAGGAGCAGTGGAAAGCTGCCGATGATGAAGGCTCCTATGAGGAGCAGTGGGAAGCTGCCGATGATGAAGGCCCCGATCACGATGATGAGCAGTGGGAAGCTGCCGATGATCACGGCCCCGATGAGGAGCAGTGGAAAGCTGCCGATGATGAAGGCCCGGATGAGGAGCAGTGGAAAGCTGCCGATGATGAAGGCCCCAATCACGAGGAGCAGTGGAAAGCTGCCGATGAGCAAGGCCCCAATCCCGAGGGCGAGCAGTGGACAGCTGCCGATGATGAAGACCCCAATCACGATGGCACAAGCATGGCTGATGAGGAGTGGGAGGCGGCTGTCGGCGCAGAGACCGACATTTACCCCACGTGGCCAAGGGCCCCGATCACAAACGTGACCCAGGAGTATCCTACGAAGGCCGACCGAGAGCGTCTCGATGTTTGGTGGTCCAAGTACAAGACAAACCCAGCCCAGGAGTCCATATAGTTGACTAGTTTTGTATGTTTCGTGGTTCGGATTGATTGAATTAATTTGGGTTCTTATATATCCCGCACACATGCAGGAGCCTTCCACTGCCGGGAACAAGAAGGTTTCGAACCCCACAGAGCCCGTGAATCACGCTGAGCCGATGCCCACAAGCCTCGAGGACGGTCGTTTGAAGATATCGTGGTCGAACATAGAACACAAGACTAGTCAGATGTACCACTAAGTTGAATAGGTACCGGAGGTTGAAACAAATGAATATGTGTATATATATATAGGTATATGTATGAAAACGAACCTATACTACACAACTTGGTAGACTAACTTTTCAATCAAAGATCGAAGTACACAGATAAGCCTGCTATGTATGTATGTTTGTATATATATACACACATGTATACATGAGTAAATCTTCAAAGTAGATAGATAATGAGATAGATCATAGAAATAAAATCATAAGCTATAACGACTAACGCATATAATCGATATTCACGCTAAATAATAATATAGACCAATATACGAATATCAATCTGCACACGTGGTGGCATATATAGAGATCAGATTTCAAACGCAGTTGGCTTATATTGGAATAATATGGCGGGTTATAGATGGAATCAATTTAGAACAGAACCATACGGTTTAATCTGATTTGAGTAGACCAGGTTGAGCTGACTACTAGTATAAAACTAAAATGTAACCTAATGGTAAACCAGTCCATAGATATTGAAACGAATTAGTGCGCATCCACGGTGGCCAGCCGAGTTTGGTTGGACTGTAGTGGGTCTGTAGTTCAGAAATCCCAAACCCTAAAATGGAAACCCTACAAGCCTACAAGGCCCTATAAACCACAACAAAGTTGCGACTGCTATCATCAGAAACCTTAAACAGCTAAGCCTTAATTTTAATCCGAATCGTGTTACCATAAACAGAACCCGCGATCGCAGGACATGGCACTCTGGCTCGACGCAGCCACCGATGAGGAGAAGCTTGCTATGTGTAATCGGCTTATCGCTTCCCGGTCAAATAAGATATTCGACAACTTATGCTGGAAGCGTGTGGCTTGACGATTTTGCTCATAAGGTTGCAAGGCTTCCGACGAAGGAGCTCCCTGGATCCAGCCCTGATACGTCAATGCCTGCGTGCATCTGCTGCATCAATCCCGAGAATTAATTTAGTAGATGTCGACCCCTATAGAAACCCCGCCCAGGTGCCCGAAGATCCCGGCCAAGACTGCCAATGATGAGGCAGGCGGAGAGGAGAGGAGTGCATACGGTCCAATTGTGTGTTCGTGCGCGATTCGAGAACGCATGAGCATCGGTCTTGAGATTTACATCCTGGGTTTAAGTTAGAATACTTTGTTTAATCATATAGGGGCCCAAGGAATAATATCACCCACAACATTAACCAACGAAGTATTCTAGGGTCAAGGACCGATCCGAGTCACGCTAACTCCTATCTCACTGCCTAGCCACATTCTCGCAAGCTTTCAGGCCGTGCATCATGGCAAGCCAGCTGATCGCACCCGCGACCTCAAAGGTCCTGCTGCCGCTTTGGCTTCATTTGGAGTGTTGCGCACTTCGGGGGGTCGGAATTCGAAATGACAATGGGGTGGATCTGCTTCCAATGTAGCTCAGGCATTCGAGATCCCTGGAATGACGGGGATGTCAGGTGTACCCGCCAGTGTTGTCCAGGCGGCACTTAGTGGGAAACACAATGCGGTTGTTCCCCATCGCCAACGACTGCTTGTTGCAGCCGGGAAGGCTCCCGATGCCCCGAAACCAGAAGCCTCTGAAACAATGGAAGCCGAGAAGAAGGAGAAAAAGAATGGGAAAGCAAAGGCGAAACCAAAAGCGAAGGCCGAGGCGAGTGCAAAAAAGAAGGCCGCCAAAAGCAAAGGGACGAGACCACCGTATGCAGACACGGAATACAACATCGAGAGAAAGAAGTACTTTGCTACGTTCCTGATCTGAATATAGTAGCCGAAGCTTCAGCATCTATCTCCGAAATCGTAACCCGGAGCACGCCCCAGGCTGGACAAGGGCATGCGTTTCGCGGAGCGACAGCACAGGCAGCTTCAATACTGCCTGCATGTTCACAACGGATTTCTGTGTTTGTGATCTAGCCTTTAATAATATAGTCTAATGGGCTTCGGTGTATGTGAATTTGGGATGTATCGTCATTTGACTGCAGTGTGAAGTGTTGAGGTAATTTGGGGGGCATTACAATAGATAAATCAAGACGATGGGTACGAATACTGAGGGTTGAGGCTTCAAGACCAACATAATCCCAATAATTCGAGGGCCCGGTTGTCTGCATGTAGACACGACTGAATTTGTGTGGTTTGGTCTGAGGAATTAATAGGGATCGGTATATGACGGCATTTGTTTGGGATCAAGTGCATCCAAGGACTTGTTGAAATTCTTCCGGTGCATTCAGCAGATCTAGATCGATTCATCCTTAGGAATTGGAGATTCCCTGGGGTCCAAGAGCTTCCAGGTACTTGATTTAATCGCCGGGCAATGAACTAAGCCATCCCTCGAAAAACAAAAAACGCCAATCCGAGACCCTGGGGTTGTGGTATTTAAGTGCATTCGTTGTCCTCGAGAAAGATGTAAAGGAGCAGCCATCCATCCATCGGTAGTCCTGCCATGCAAAGCTTGACGTTTATAAAGTAGGGTTTCGGGCTTAGGGGCTGTGAAATAGCATCCATTGTCATAACTATACGAAATGATTTAAGGTCAAATACGGAATAACGCACTTTATTACTTATTGGAATACACATAGATCATACTTTGATCGATGCTGCACCTGGCAACAAGAGCTGGCGGGACTTGTTTACAAAACCCTCTTGCATGCATGGCATTGTTGCAGCAATCTGACAGATCGATGGAAGATTGACGGCCTCATGCTGGGGGGCCTTGGGATTGCATGTCGGATTATGTATACGGCTCTACACATCGCCAATGCAGCGGTTGTATAGGAGGCCCAGGAACGAACCGACTAATGATACAAAAGAAGAACCATCCTACGGATTCACAAACCCAATCCCAACAAACCCAACACCCTTCGAACAGCTAATAGGATTGAGACCGCATGCAGTACTCCAAACAATCGGTGAATCATGGTCGGATCATCGATCCAATCATCAGATAGCGGCTCACGCAGCATGAGTTTACGCGTTCTTGATGTTCTGGCTTTAACAGCTCTAGGTCGGCAACGACAATGTTCGGAGCTAGCCAACTCGTCATGCATTAATCACAGATTGTGGGTCGCGTCGCATAAAAAAGGCGCCGAAGCAGACGAATTCGCCATTTGCCAGTGCTGGCTTGTTGGAATCAATGGATTCCGATAAGATCAGAGTATGTGTATGGTATTCTGCTCACCCGTCCAGTCTCTCTTTGACCCCCGACTCCGCTCACTATCCTGCCTCGGTCCACTCGGATCCTCCCTGGTCCCTGTCTCTGTCTGGCCATCTCACACTTTATCCCTCTCTCTCTCTCTCTCTCTCTCTCTCTCTCTCTCTCTCTGTCTCTCTCTCTCTCTCTCTCTCTCTCTCTCTCTCTCTCTCTCTGAGTGTTTATTTGGGTCACCTAAATTTTAGGTGACCGACTCTGAGTGTTTATTTGGGTCACCTAAATTTTAGGTGACCGATGCTTACCCGTTTGTGTGGAGCTTTTAGCTGGCTTTTGGAGCTTGGAGCTGTCTCTCTCTGTCTCTCTCTCTCTCTCTCTCTCTCTGACTCTCTCTCTCTCTCTCTCTGACTCTCTCTCTCTCTCTCTCTCTCTCTCTCTCTCTCTCTCTCTCTCTCTCTTCTCGCGGGCACTTTACACTTGTAGATTTTACTCACATGACAAGCGACACTGCTGCAAGCGTATGAATTCGAACAATCAACAAGCATCAACCCTAGTACGTCGGTAATTCTCAATGCAATAAATGCTGGAAACCTGGCGAAAGCCCGAAATCTTTCAATACTGAAATCTTGAGGCATGCTGCATGAGACTCTTTAATATATTTGAGAATTCCCACTATGGGTTGATAATCAGGATCATATAGCCTCGAGAGATTCTTCCTTAAACCCCTATAAGCCCTAAACCCCTTAACCCAAAACCCTCAAGTCTCTATGCCCGCAGGTGGAACAACAGTGAGGAGAGAAAGCAGGTGCTGCAGGGAATGGACATCAATGAGATGAAGCGTCGCCGCTATGCAATAGTTTAAAGTTGCGAGCTTTTGGCGACGATAGTGCTGCCAGCTGTGTGTGATCTGCTGCGTTTCAAGCAGGGATTGTGTGATCAGGAGCTAGAGTCTGTGTGTGATGATTCATTTACCGCTTGTTTACAGTTCCGCGACCTCAGACTATATACTCGAGAAGCTTCTGATCGATGCAGGGGGCTTTAGAGCAGTGTGCGTGCACAGTTTTTGGCATGCGCTGCTTATGCAAGTGAGCAGTGCGATTAATCTTGCAACTTGGGGGTCGGAGAGCTGTCATCGATGCCAGGTTCGTGAAAACTCGCTTTACAGGTCCCTCTGCTTGCAAAGTCTCGGGCCGACGCTGGGGTTGCATGGCTATCTACATCCTGTGTATGTGCTCAAAGTTGTCAGGTCTTAAAGACCATGCATCGTAGATGGTAAGCTAATGCTTTGTATCCTTATATAGAAGAATCACAGTAATATATTGGAGGTTATCCTATTTATAACCATAGGATAGGATCCCGTTATGAAGTATACTCAGCTGCTCGTCGCCTTGGCGACGTTGAGGATCAGCAGCTGGGCCAGATTCAGCGATCGTCATTCCTTACACGCGAGGGAATGTATTTTGCTGCTGCATGCAGCTGGTGCTTCAGGTTTCGGCCCCAAACCTGACGACTTAGATTTTGTGGAGATCTTCGCAGGACTAGCTCAAGCTTCGTGATGTTCATTTCGGCCTTCTTGTAGACTGCATGCATTAAGCTGCAGAATATGTATATATATATGTATATATACTGTAACACTGCATGAAGGAGCACACCTCCTCTACTCCGCCGCGAAGCTCTATGGCCTCCGATGCCATGGAGTGGACGAGACTTTACTGCTTAGAACCTAGAACCGATGAACTTCGGCCGAAACTCTCGAAACCTTCCTACATCCAAGGTAGCTTACTCCACCAAATTGGACATCTTATCCTCATTTGGATTCATGGTTTTCTTGAACTGTGCAACTCGGCAAGGATCCCATCACACCCGAATTTAAGCCAGCACCCCAACTCTACATATACATCCCAAACCCTATAGTCTCGATAATTAGATTTCGATTATATATCAAATTTCACCTCAACCCATATATATATATATATATATACATATATCTACACCTTCTTAGTGTTAAACCCTAACTTCCCGGCCCTCCACCCTAAACGCTATCCTGCCACCCGATTAAACCGGAGCCTATATCTGGCTTGCAAGTCGAGTTGGGATTATTTTAGGGTTTCCGTGTCTGATGGATGGGGAACCACTTAGGCGAGGCGGCTTAGGCCCCAAGGGGTGGCCTGGTATGCCGTCCCGTGTTCTAGCTGGATATTTATGAGCTTTGGCTGCAATGTAAGCAAAATAGCAACACTAGATATTGCATCGATGCATTGCTGCAACTTCATCTTAGGAGTCGTGGATCCTCGAAGCGCCGGCGCTTGAATGTCAAAGGACAGCTGGCTTTTAGAAGCCCGAAATGTATTCCCAAAGCCTAAATATAGAGATTCTTGTTGCACGTACAAAAGTTGATTGGTTCTGCCGTATCTGAGGCGATCCGAAACGCCAAAAGGTCAAGGATGCCAACCGGTTGGCTAGACGGGTTGCATATTTGCGGCCGTGATGCACTATATGTCGTCCTCTATCATTTTGCAGGATGAGCTAGGACTAGTGCGTACTCGAGGATCGAATATCAACACCGATCTGGGTCCTACTACATCCTCGAAAATCCCACTGGCTCCATGCTGTTCGAGTATCCGTGCATAAAGGTGTTTCAGACTGCAAATATAAGACTCCCCCAAATCCACTAAACCTGAAGCTTCGCGCAATCCCAAGCCTTCGATAGAAGCCCTGTTCATAAACTTGAGGCGAGATTGCGAGCCCACAATGCCAAATCCATAAACCTTTGCCTCGGAGCCGTGGGAGCTCCGTCGAGAAAGTGTGCTACTTGACCCGATATATGTAGTTCCAAGCCCTGCAATTAAGATCGACCCATCCGAATCAACCTAGGTTACGCTATGGGGCACTGCGCCGTTTCTGAACAAGCTCTACGAACAACTGTCCGGCACAAGGAGGAGCCCCAGCCTCCGAGTTTAAAGGTTGATTACAGGAATTCATCTTTGCAGCTTCTATATAATTAAGTTCGTGGTATTCAACCATCGTATAGGTATATACTTAAAACACCCAATACCAGCTAGTAGCTCACATGTAACATACTAGAACACATGTTGTATGCAGCTTCGATTGCTTCTATGGATAGATTCGAACTATCGTGCTAGATGTATTGGGGATAGAGTATATACGTATATCTGTACACGGCTGGCACACACCCAAAAACCTCAATCCTATGAAAGTAGAATGCCGAACAGGGGAACTACCTGACTAACCGGAAAAGTCTCAATCAGGAACCAGCTGCGTCGTATCCAATCCTTCCTCAAGATGGACATAAGCCGTGGATATGTCGATGAGCACGGCCGTGCTCGCCGAGTGCCTTGTCCATTTCTGTGTGTTTTGCTTTGAAGTTCAGTTCAAGTGGGACTTACTTTGATCTATGTCAAGATTATCGAGGTGGGTGGGAAGGATTTGACAGCGACGGCTGTTTACCCTGGTACTTTGGCATTGAAGGTTCCCTGTCATGCATTAAATGACAGCAAAACTCGTAGAGTGGTGCGTGCACATGATCGATCCCCGGGGCCCACATGGATGTAGGTCGCTGATCTACTGGATGAACATTTCAAGACCCTGAAGCCAACACCTGTTGTCAACGAGCTGGATATGGAGCTTATGGACAGCAGTGATACTTCAAGCTCCGATTCTGGCCTCGAGGACCTGGTCGGCCCACAGTGATCCAGATGTGCAGGTGTTATACCTTTGCTATGCGGCAGCTTGAATAGGGGTCAGCTGTTAAATTTTGTGCTTGTAACGGGTGAACTGCAGGCTCAGAAGTTGCCTCGGAACCCAAATTATTATGCACTCGGTGTGTTCGCCATGCACATCCGGCCGGGAGCGTACCCAGCAGCTAGCGTGTATCAGCGTGTATCTGCGTGTATTTGCAGGTATGAACAGGCGAATAGCGTGTATCAGCGTGTATCGGCTGTTAGATACTTAGAGCATTTCGCGCGCACCCCGAAGCATCACCGATCGAGCTATTTGAGCTTTAGATTGATCAGCCATGGGTGGCTCCGGAAAAGGCAAAGCCCCAAAAGGATCTAAGAGTGCTGCCGGCGGGGATGCATCGGCCTCCTGAGTCGATTGATTTGTCCATCGAAACCCACCCACGGCATTACACGTATGTCGGGAAGATGGTCGATTCAAATGGTGCCGCTGTAAATCCTGGGAAAGGAAAGCTGGCAAAGGGTGGTGGCAAAACCCATGGAAAGGATGGTGCCAATGGTGCTGGCACAGCCGCTGGGAAGGCTGGTGGCAAAAGTCCCGGAAAGGATGCTGGCAAAAGCCCTGGAAAGGATGGTGGCAAAAGCCCAGGAAAGGGTGGTGGCAAATCCCCAGAAAAGGGTGGTGGCAAAACCCCCGGAAAGGATGGGGGCAAAACCCCCGGAAAGGATGGTGGCAAATCCCCGGGAAAGGATGGTGCCAACACGGATGGAAAGGCTGGTGGCAAAAGCCTTGGAAAGGATGCTGGCAAATCCCCCGGAAAGGCTGGTGGCAAATCCCCTGGAAAGGATGCTGGCAAATCCCCCGGAAAGGATGGTGGCAAATCCCCTGGAAAGGATGCTGGCAAAACCCCCGGAAAGGATAGTGGCAAATCCGCTGGAAAGGATGGCGGCAAAACCCCCGGAAAGGATGGTGGCAAATCCCCTGGAAAGGATGGCGGCAAAACCCCCGGAAAGGATGGTGGCAAATCCCCTGGAAAGGATGGCGGCAAAACCACGGGAAAGGATGGTGGCAAATCCCCTGGAAAGGATGGCGGCAAAACCCCTGGAAAGGATGAGGCTCAGACCGGTGGCATGAAGGGTGCCAAAGGCGGGAAGCAGGGCAAAACCAAGAGTCCGGAGGCCAGTGAGCCAGGATCTGGCAAAGGACGGGGACTCAGCACTGATCCGCATACCCCCCCGCCAAGGAATGGGTCGACAGCTGGACTGCCCAGCCCTCATACCGGCACACCCCCAAGCAACACAGCCAAAGGTAACAAAGGCAAGGGCAAGACCAAGGCCGTTTCCAAGGAGGCATCCGCACCGGAGGGCAAAGGCACAGTGAAGATTGGATGGGACGGCCAAGACCACGCAGTGCGTCGCAGGGTGTCTTTCGATGAAGGCGGGATGTGTATTCTCATCTAAACCACGCACACAGGTTGTTATAGTTCATGCTCCATGATGATCAATATCCCTGTGTATGCTTCCGCACAGTCTCCACTACGACATCGATGAGTCCATCTTTGCCAGACAGGGGTGCAAAGCTGCCTGGTTGACACGATTAATGTACTCACTATACTTGTCGATCATGCCCTATATATGTAAGTCCACTATAATACGTTAGTCTTGACATCTACCAAGGCCCGGTCGGCCCATCCTCCGGTCGGATACCGGTCTCTCGACGTCGAGTGATGGCTTGGGGCCGGTCGAGATGGCGCCGCTTAATATTGCTGATGGTGTGTCTCAGCTGTACTTATATATTCCCAGCCGGGTACACACGCATAGTCACAACTCGCTCTTATATGCACAAGACAAATTTCTACATGCATACATGTGTATGTGTGTGTGCGCGAGGCACGACCTCTCACTGATGACGAGCGAGCACAGATTCAAGTGCCCTGACTCATATTTTGAAGTAGTCCACTACAATGTATTGTTCCCCCCATATAAATAGCCTGATACCGTGGATTCCTGGATCGTTCTATATCCTGATAAACACTAAGATCTCCTGCACGCCCAGGCTCTATCTGGCCCCGCAGACATCCCGCTCCAGCAACGCAAGGCCCTGAACGAGAAGCTCCGTAGGCGCATGAACAATGGCCAAGGCCGGCTTTTAGCTATAATTTCACAATCTCATATAATTGGGCCACTCGATGATTGCTGAGTGTATTTTAGCACAGGCCTACGCAAGGGCTTGGTGGCTCAATGGGCTGCAACCCCGCCAGGCTCCATGGCCCGGCTCCTCGTTTCGATTACAAACATGTTTGAAATCCCTCTGATCCAAGAAGCCTCAACCTCCTAAAAACCCTCAGGCCCAAATCCTAAACCAGTTAAATAAGTCCAGACTCAAGTTTCCAACACCGAGGTTCGAATTTCTGAAGGCTTTCCTCTTGGACAAGGACATGTCTAGCATCGTAGTCTCGCCTTACTACGAGGAGTCCCTCGGCTGATTGTTACAGATACCCTTGGTCCGAATTCCTAGCTGGCATCAACCCGCAACATCGAGGCTTTCCGAGGCCAAAGAGAAAGAAATCTTCGAAGAGCTGCCATTGTGCATGATCAAAGAAATTTACGAGAAGGTGGAGGGAGGTAAGAAGTTTCTTGCCGAGCTGATGCAGAGCGGCTGCCTCAAGATTCGTATGCAAGCTTGATCAGGGGTTTATGTTACTATCTAGAACATTTTCTTATGCATAAGGTCAGGGCGCCGGGAAGAAGCACCCACAATCCGATGATGAAAACATGCGGCTGTATAAGCTCTTCAAGTCGAACACTATCAGCAGTGCCTGGGCAGGATCATATCCACTTACAAAGTGTGTGCTAGTTCCCTCCGGCCCGGTGACCCTCTATGATATAGTATTGTGCCAAGATGCGAACATCAACAGAGTCGGCAACAAGACGACGGCCAGCGTGGAGGCCTCGACCAACAAGGCAGAGAGAGCTGCTATCGCAGAGACGATTCAAGGAAAGGTCGCAGGGATGCACAAAAGTGCCTTGACACCGGCGCCCAAGAAAGGGGATGGAAAGAACAAACGCAAAAAGGACTGCGAGAGAATCGTACTGGGAAGTGTTTATCGGGATTTACCGGGAGCTTTCTTCAGTATTTCTAGTCCTGCAGGAACTTACACCGGAGGAGATTGCGAAAAAGGCTTTCGATAAGGACTTGCAATCGTGGCTCGACATATTTAGTGAAAGACGGATCTTGCTTGATTGCAGTTGCAGTACCCCACCATTTAAATATTATCACACTACAAGCTGAGGGTGAGAGATCTCGTTGACAAAGCCGTCAGCGTCGCCGCCGGATTGGGCCAATGCGGTTTAGCAAATCAGGAAGGCCTTATCAGCCAACTTGGCAACATTGCCACGAAGTGTGGCAACATCCGGGACGAGTCTTTTGGCTTCAAGAGCTTATGGGGTTCATACAGGCAAGATTCTAGTGGTTTAGGGTGCAGGGTTTTAGACTTAGAGGTTTCGGCTTTAGAATTGAAAACGTACTCCAACGGGTATATGTTGATTCGGAATCCTTTTTAAATATTAGTATAGGGACCACGTGAATACTGAACCCGCAACCCGATTGAAAACCCCAGAGGCACTAATACTGTATGGTACAGTATTGGGATACCCAAGTATATATATATATATATATATACATATGTATATACTATGCGCTCTATAGAATATGTATATGTGTATATGCATATCTGCATATATATATATATATATACATGTATATATATATATATGCACTTATAGAGATATTGCTATACTGTATTAGAATATCTATTTGTATACCAACCACTACAAACCCGACCCAAAAGTGTTTCAAGCAAGGTATCCTGAACCGGCTTCGGTAGCTAGCCCGAACTTTAAGTCGCCAAGTGTCCAGGCTCCCCAGACTTTAACCCGGCCCAGGATCCAGCAGATGATCTTCGCATCGACGCCTTTCGATGAGTGCGAGCGGTGCATGCTTTATTACAAGGAAAACGAGCTAAAGGGTCGCTTGCAAACTTATGACAATGGGTGTTTTGCAGAGTATTATGTGGTCTGTCTACGACCTATGTCCCGCAGGATTACCAACGCCAGGTTCTCGACGCTGAGGGCATTCTGGTTGGACAAGAACGCCGTTCTCTAGTTGCATTAAGTTCTTCGTAGAGCTTCTTCAGTATTCAACCTCCACTTACTTAGGTAAGGCATCTGAGAAGAGAAAGCGCGAGAAAGCTGAAGAAGAACAGAAGAAGAAACAGCAGGAGGCCGACGGCCAGCAGGATCCGGATGAGTATGCTGAAGTGCAAGAGGAGGAGGACGCTGAGATGGAAGGACAGGAAGAATGGCCGGAGGATGTGTATGATGCAGATGCTGATGAAAACGCAGCCCCTGCTGCCAAGCGCCACCGATCCTAGGCCACTCTAGGTGTTCCTTTGAAAGGCAGGCTGCTGTGAAACTTAGGATGATCGATCCGGTGTTGTTTGATCAACTCCGGCTGGGGAGCTAGGGGCGGTTTGTATAGTGCAAGCATGCTGCTAGCGGCGAAATCCCGACATAAGGCTGGCTTTGAGACCATGTTATTCTGGCCGTGGCTAATTGGATTGGCTAATTAACCAGGTGGTATCTAAACTGGCTCAGTCGGGTGTCAAGTTAGCTCTGCATGGGCTTGTCGACAAACCGATACTGTTTAACCCGGGCATAATAGCTGCCTGGGCCTCAGGGGCATTCTCGAAGCTGCTGCGATGCCAAAACATGTATCCGCCCCGGCCTCCACTGCCATTGCATGTCTTGCAGCACAGTATCGAAGCAGCAGCGATCTCCGCTTTGCAATTGCCTGAGCTTCCGCTTTCAATGCAACAGAGATCCCCGTGAAGCTACTTTATGCCCAATAACCCGTAATTACTCATTCCAATATAGTTTTCTAGAAACCAACCATTGGATGTCGACCCCCACGATGACATACTAGCTGTATAGCCCATGTAACCCCAGAGAATGCGCAACAATTCCCAGTACACACAACAAGGCATCTACTCATTCTCCCAATAACCCCGAGCATGGAGTGCGAGTCGCGATGTCCGAGAATGGAAATTGGGCCACCCAGTATGTGAAAGAAACGTGCGACGATATTCTGAAGCTGTTATCTGTTGGCCAGGCTTGGCTGCTCGCAGTTGTAGCCTTCCGCGGAAATCCTCAGATCCCAATAAAGATTGCAGCAGTAGCCCAGACACACCAAAACAAACCTCTAAATTGACCAACTTATACACGAAAAACAGGCCTAAGCCCGGAACCCGTTAAGACCCTGAAGCCCGGAGACCCAAAGCCCCGATGACCCAAAGCCCCGCTTTCAAGCTAGCCAATATAGCAGCCGGCGCCCCACCACATCGCAGGTCCCCTTGGACCAGCTCGCCAAATCACTGGAACGTCTTCGAAGGCTTCCTCAGTGTGTGGTGCCGTGTCTTGGGAGCAACTATTGCGAGCTGCTTGGGGGAATGATGGCATTGCGATTATAGTCTATCTAAAATCTATGCTATGTTAAACCCGAGGAAGGATTTGGTAGAATTGGCCCATTCTTTCATCAATCAGAATTCTTGGGGCCAGCTCCGATGCCTGATTCGTTGGACTGACCGGCAACCATGGCGAAAAATTTTGCCGCAACCATTCATGCACCCTAGCTGCTTGCGAGCTACGTCAGATACTTTGGGTTCAGACTTTCAAGCCCCGATTCGCGAGATCAATGATTCAAGGATTCAGCTGAAAGCAGCCCCGTGGCTTCATCAGTATTCCTTCACCCCCTGATTGCAGCCGGAGTTCGACCCAGGAATATGAAGATTCCCGCGGCAAGCGGTCTGGCCTGGTTCAACACCATCTTCTACTACCACATGAAATCATTGGCTCCCTCTATGATACTGGAAATATCGGTATGGTGACGGGGGAGGTGACTCGCCTTACTAACGAGTGACTGTTGGAGACTTGAGGTCCCTCTCTCTTTCTCTCTTTCTCTCTTTCTCTCTCTCTTTCTCTCTCTCTTTCTCTCTCTCTCTCTCTCTCTCTCTCTCTCTCTCTCTCTCTCTCTCTCTCTCTCTCTCTCTCTCTCTCTCTCTCTCTCTCTCTCTCTCTCTCGCTCTCTCTCTCTCTCTCTCTCTCTCTGAGTGTTTATTTGGGTCACCTAAATTTTAGGTGACCGACTCTGAGTGTTTATTTGGGTCACCTAAATTTTAAGTGACCGATGCTTACCCGTTTGTGTGGAGCTTTTAGCTGGCTTTTGGAGCTTTGAGCTGTCTCTCTCTGTCTCGCTCGCTCGCTCGCTCGCTCGCTCTCGCTCTCTCTCTCTCTCTCTCTCTCTCTCTCTCTCTCTCTCTCTCTCTCTCTCTCTCGCTCTCTGTCGCTGTACTCTCCCGACGTCTCCTATTCACCGGTACATACATATAGACACACACACACATGGCTTCGTTCTTTGCTTCTATCTATATATTCATATATACGTAGAAATCTACTCATATATCGGTTGCATGCATTTATAATTATGTAGGTTTCTCATAATATTGTATATACATGCACACATGCATGTATATGTACACATGTATCGGGCCTCTTGTTGTTGACTCGTTTTATTTGGACGCCCCTGTACCATATCTTGTTTGGCCGCCTCGTTGTTTTATCATTAACTTGAAGTTATAGATTACGAAGGAGTGTGGCCACACGGGTTTCAAGACTCATGCCGCCGAGGAAGACGATCTGCTGCTATATTGGCAGGAGCTCTCCGAGACGGCTTGGTTTCGAGAACACCCGGTTCTCAGCGCCACTAGACCACAAGTGTATACCGACATGATTGATATGGGGCCTGGAAAATCAGCCGTAATGTCTAGAACATATTGCTCGATGCTTAGGCCGCCGACCCCAAACACTGTATACCGCTTCGGCTATACGGAGACGGGGCAGAATCTACGAGCCACACAGCTTGATCTGGATTAAAGTGCAGCCATAAACTTGGTTCGACCTTTTTTGTATCTAAGAACACCAAAGCTTCGAGTGCTTCGCGATGCTAGCGCCCATGGCACCGGCATCGACGATGCAATCACGATTTCTGAACTTGGCTCGCATTAGAGTAGAAACAGTGAGCAGACGGTCATCGGTGATTCGTGATTAGTCCCTTAATCGAGGATCAGCTGTATGAATATGCACTATCATTCTGGCAACTGTCGCAATGCAGTCTTGGAAACATTGAAGTGGTCATTCAATGCTCTCGGCCGCCAAGCTTCGAATCATCTAATACATTCAACAAAGTGTATAATTGTTTTCGACCCATCTATAAGGTACTGGTGTCTACCCGGCCGCAGACCCATTTGGGAATGAATTTGGGCCGGAATATATGCCACAGAGATGGAGAATGGCCGGGAAACGGATATGCGGGCCGTTTGTCGGTATATTCGATGCAGTGCAGGCAGATCTAGAGTTCGTTCGTAAAATCTTCAGCCTGCAACGAACCTTTGCAGCAATATACGTGATACAGGGAGCAACAAAAACCGTGTATATGTATCGCTGGCCCAGGTGACTACTCGCGCAAGATGATGTGCCATTACTGCGAAGTGCCTTTGAAGATTTCTTGCTTCAGATTAATGAATGTAAATGTAGTGACAACTGCACCACTAGCTTCGAGCCTTAAGATTGAGGCCTTGGCCTGGACATATCTACACGGCGATGATGCGCCGAATGATCCGGAGATGTTGTATACTGCCTTTGGTAGAGGAGCGGCACACAGACAAACGTGGCTAGGATATTATATCAAAGACCCCACCTTAAACACCCAAACCCCCAAAATCAGCCCTCCCATTGATGTGCGAATTGAGGCTCATATCGGGCGCAGAGGAATTCCAGGCAGTGCACGGGTCGTCACCGTTGACGCAGATCTGTGGATTCTCCCCTTGGCGTGGCATGTTCACATTTGTGTTTGATCTTCGAACTATAGTCTAGACCGAGCTAGAAGTCACGTGCGGGTTCAGGCATCCTACCGGACGCAATGCACTTGGCTCACCTTGCAATCTTCTCCGATGTTTACATATCCTTGTTGCTGGACTTGACAGATGACTACACCAAGCGTGATATCAAGCTTTCTGAGCTCTTCGAGAATTATCGCGAATGGTGCGAATCCCAGGGCAACTGAACCATATTAGGGTTTATAGGGTTTAGGATTTGGGGTTTGGGGGACCTGTATATACGAGGATTAAGCCTTACCCCATCAATCCCAGGCATCAGCGACAGGGCCCGCAGGCGCTTGTTTACCAGCAGAACTATTCGACCAAACTTCAAAGAATATCGGTCGATTTCCCAGAAGCTCCTGAGCGCAGCGGCCAGTCGTTACTTGATATTCTGGTTTTCACACTACTTGTCTGGATTGCTCGCGAGCTCCCCCGACAGCACGTTTCTTCAGCTTCCAGACTCAATTATTTCTGTGTGCGCTGTTGTATGTGTTGTTGTGCACGAGAGATCTGGAGAAAGAGAGAGAGAGAGAGAGAGCAGGAAGAGAGAGACCCGAAATGAGACCCCAACAATCTAGTACCGTGAGGAGAAAAGAAAATGTTGGTTATAGGGTATAAGTAATAAGTATACTACTACGTAACCGAATTGCAAAAGGAACGAATAGAGAAGCCACCTATATATGTTTGACGTAATCCATATGCAGCCCTAGCTTAAGTTGGAAATATCGCAATCGAAGCATATCCCAGCTGTATTTTACATATACATATATACATATACATATTTACATACACATAAATTGTAAAGTCATCTGATCGAGGTTGCGAGTTGGAGTATGCCTGGGCCTCGCCAAGATGGAGGAGCTCATGCTGTTGCACGAGTCTATCGGCTGAAATGTAGCAAATTATATTGATTAATACTTGGGTTCGGTTTCGGGATCGATTCTGAGTAGACCTAAATTAACATATAAATATTAGGATTTGATTTAATCATAGAAGTCAACCCTATTACAAGCCCTATAATCACGAATCATCAATCCTTAATATAAATCCTACACGTTGCCCTTGCCCTATATGGAGTTCTACTTAAGGCGACTGTTGACCGGGAATGCCACACGTTTGTTCCAAGACTACTACCTGCTCTACCGTGCTGCATACAACCGACTATCGCAGCAAGCGCTAGACTGGAAGGTCACCAGGTGGCCACAGCGTCCCAAAAACCACTACTTTGAACACGCAACTTTTGATTTCACAGGGACCTCCGGTTTTGTCCTGAACATGAGATACTTCTCGAACTACCAATGCGAAGATCTGGTACGCAGGTTAAAACAACTTGCAATCAAGTCTCACCAGACATGTTTGTCGAAACATGTTGTATTCAAGTACACGCTCCAGTTTACCTTGCCGTTTCGGGATATCTGAAAAGAGAAAGTTGCCGCAGTCTGCAAGCAACAATTCGGTCGATGTCTGTGCGACTGCATGCGTCATGGATCAATGCAACACGAATGCTTTGCTGGTATATCTGCTCGAGCGACGGTGCATGTGACAATCGTGAAGTGTTAAAACCCTGGTATTAGCTCATGTTCCCAGATCGATGTCGGAGATTCTGGCTGCTTCGATCTGCAAGAACCGGCTTGCAGGTAGAGGTTTGTGGCACTGTGATATACTTGCTGAGCCGAGGCAATAATGAACATATCGCCAGGAGATGAACTTGCTGCTCCAGTTTCTGTATCTTGCTTGCACCGAAGCTCAAGAACCCAACAATAGGAATTGTTTGGAGGGTCATATTGTCATATTTTGCATCGATCGAAGAGCGCTGTTCGACCTGTTAGCTCTAAACGTGCAAGGATACATGCACGAATGAGTTCAAATGATGACCATCTGTGCGCCTGGGCGAATTTTATGTTGATCTGGGGCTTCGTATATTGGAGCTTTGAGCGGACGAGCTCGAAGCTCAGGCTTCTATACGTACCTTGTGATCGATCGAGCTACGTCAACGAGTCATCAAAAAGAAAGCGATATGCATTGCTGCGCGACGCACAAATCAAGAAGTCAGGGATCGAGCGAATCCCAGGCTATGGTTCCGACCGGTGGCTTTCTACAGATTTTGAGAAATATTTGCGATATTCTGAATATATACCACTCTCTATATAGTCTCGCTCTCTCTCTTTTTTAGAAACGACTTTTGTACAACTATTTTTTTGATAATAGAATAAGTATAAAGATGAGATATATGTGATAATAATTACCCTAAAACACGAGAACCCCTAATTGTTTGTCATGTTCGAGTGGCTCAAACCCTTTGTTTTGTGCGAGTGGCTCAAACTTCTGGACGAGTCGTTGCTGCTAAGCTGTTTGTTCATGTGTGTGGCTCAAATTTCAGTGAATATATCTGGATCAAGCCATCTTCCGCCACTGGTCGATACCTCTCGGCACACATGGTGGCTCAATTCGACGATCATCAACCATCGAGTTGACCGCACCCTAAAGTTTCAAGCTTTGAAGAATGATGGACGATATTTTAAGATCGGCTCTAGGAGCGGATCAAGGAAGCGAATAACCTATTCGCTTGCTGCTACCGATAGCCCCTTCTAATCGAAGGTTAGGAACTGTCGAACAGCCCGTGGTGGCATGCCTGCGAGTCTGCAGGTCGGTAGGGGCGGGGCGGGGCGGGCGAATTTGTGCTGTCGATATGCTTCTCCGACTGTTTCCGGCGGGACACAACTTGAGAGAACTACTCCTGAGATCTCGGCCACATGTCGCTCTTCTCAGAATACTCCCTCTCAAAGTCCTCCATGAGGAGCAGCTCCGGCGCCGTGTACTCGACCTTTCGAGCCAAAGGTAAAAAGCGAAGGAACCGACGAGGAACGACGGCCCAGCGGCCAAGCTCCTGGCAGTGCCCGTGTAGCCGCGCGACGCCGCTGCCGTCGCACCTCCGCCGAGGCCGAGAGAGTTTAGGCATGAGGGGCTTGGTGACTTCTCTGAGATCCCTGCTGGCCGGTGGCTCTCCAAAGGCTTGAGCCGTTCCGAAGTCGCCTGGACTTCGGAAATTAGCTCTACGAAAACTCTTTTCTTTGCCTCGTTTTGAGGGCCATACTCAGCAGCGCCCTGGGAAACATCTCGGATCCGGCTCCTCCCCTGCAGGTTCGGTTGGGTGGAACCGGCTTTGCGCAAAAAAAACGCCGCAACAGCGCCTGTTGCTGTTGTCGGGCCAGGAGAGAAGGATGTTTGTCGGCTTCAGGTCCCGGTGCAGGATGCCCTGCCTCAGTCCGTCTGGCCGAGCCCGGGCCTATGCGAAACCATACGCTCCGCGGCTCCGCGCCTGTGCAGGTGCTGCAATCCCAGGAGGATGTCCAAGAGGAAGTGCCAGATCTCAGACGTGCGAATGCAATTGGCGAACTGGGAACCCTGCAGCCTGGCAGCCACCTGTTCGGTGGGCATCTGGTCCTTGGGCGTCTGGGAGTTGCCGTCGTACCATATCTGCTCCGCCAAAGAGCCGCCGTTGCAGTACTGCCTAGCGGTCACGGTGGTAGAGGAGAGCCCCCAGCCGAGTGCAGAAGCAGAAATGGGGCCGCGCATGAGGATGAAGAGGAAAGGCACCTCTCCGAACCATATCAGCACTCCATGCATTCCTTTGCTATAGAGTCACGGCCGAGCCACGAAGGGACAGAACTCGGAACGCCTGGACAGCTCCAACCAGGAATGCTTGTACCTCGCACGGTCACACAATGTCGCACACCCGGGCTTTGTGGCTTCAGAGATGTCTGTCTCTGAAGTCTGGGTCGGAGACTCCACTATGTTCGGATGATGTAGGCGCTCGAAAGTCTTCACCTTGCAAGGCGAGACGGCAACCGGCAAGCTGCTGCAACTTGGCAATCAAGTAGCAGCCGCAAGCTCGCAACAGGCGACGTTTTCTCCGAAGTCGCAGCCGGCCGCTCGCTGCGGCCCTCTCGCTGAGGAGCCACACGAACTCGGGATCCATCACTTGCCTCTTTTCGAAACTCAGTCATCAGCAGTTTGGATCACAGAAAGAACACATAACGTTTGCCAAGGCACCTGAGGCCTTCCCGGTGTCTTTGGGCATGTCCGGCAGCTCTTTTGCAGACTCGCTCCAATCGAAGAGGTCCTTTGAAAACCCCACACATCGCAACAAACCCGACCGAGCGCTGTTCTGGTTTCCTCTCCGGCCGTCTAAAGTCCGTTAAAGCCAAGCTCGAGTCCTCGAGAGCATGTGGCGCCCGTTTCGACCACCACAACCGTAGCTACTGCTATACTACAGTACTTACGCTGACTTACACCTCTGCTGCCGCTGCCGCCACCGCTACTACATTGGGGCAGTGTCTGTCAGAGCCAGATATTGCTGCCACGCAAGGCAGCCACCTAGGCCCAAAAGCTCAAGCCACACAGAGTTCAAAGAAGGTGCATCCACAGCGATGCCACATAGATCCAAAGCATCCTTCACCCATCCTCAGTAAGAGAGTAGAGAGAAAAAGATTTCGAGAGGGCTTCTGAGTCATCTGAGGACGGCAGAGGAGAGCTGCTTGTTCCTTCCCCTCTCCCTCTCTTCGTTGCTTGGCTCCCTTCAAGCCGCCGCGGTGCGGGGCGGGCAGTGTTCGCAGGGAGCCGGCTTCGCCATTGGGAAGAAGTCTTGCAGAAATCGGCGGACCCAGTCCTTGCTGAGGCCCCGCGTGCGATCTGAAGCATTCTCAAACCGAGCATCAGTGCCACGATTCCGGAAATGTTCCCGACTTGATTTGCTGCCGCATCTCTTGCAGAAGATTCCTGGAGCAACAAGAAATGTTGGGGGAGTTTAGAAGTGAGCTGTGTTTGTTGTTCTCTTCTGCCTGCATTCGGCCAAGGAGCAGCATGAACCAGAGATTGTGCAGGGTGATAAGCTGCGCAGCCACGGGCTCTTTGGTAACGATGGTGTACAACATGGCTCTGGTGTAATCCTCCGCATTACCAGGACCCGTTTGAGCTTGTTTTGCACAGTTTCGCATGATGCCTTGTCTGATTCAAGGTCTTAGGCAACATGGACAGGTGCGCGAGGGAATGAGCAGTGAAACTGTGAAAGTAACATCGTGGAATGCCGAAGACTCGCTTCCCAGTTTGCAGGACGGCCTCAAATTTCTCTTATCTGGTGAATCTGGTCGCGTTGGCAAAGCCGTCAATGCAAGACCCCTTGACGTTACTTACTGCTGTGCTGGGCCTTGGCTTCAAACTCCCCTTGTGGTCTAGGTCTTTCGTGGCGCAGCAGAGTGATTCGTCAATTCCATGTACTGGCCAAGATACGTACTTTTTCGTGGGAAGAGTTGACAGTATGCTGGATTGCTTGGAACAAGTTGTCCTTCAGCGGACCTTGGCCATTTCCATCGCGGTCCGGCTCCAAAGGACGATAGTCGCTGGCGAACTCCGCGCTCGTCAGCCCTGAGTCTACACTTCCACAATCCAGCGTGGAGAGGACACAAAGATCTTTGGGCTCGAATTGCGCGCCAAGTAGCTGAGCTGGCCGCTCCGCACCAGAGCTGTCCCGAAGCGAGCCGTTCGGCAGGGATACACGCAGTCAAACCTGACAGTCTTGCACCCACACGCTGCACCTAAACGCATCTTCGACTGACCAGGGCAAGCCAAAAGCATGTCGACGCCCAGCGCGACACATATCACGATGTCCAGGGGATAGCCCACGCCCATCAGGTAACGCCTCGGCTGGACAAGTTGGTGGAAGGGCTTTCCGATTATCGGAACCGTGTACCTTCTGCGCATTCGAAAAATCCAAGGCTTTTTTGGGGCAGGTCTCGGCTTCATCGGAGGGAGACCACTTTGAGGTCGCGTGCACCGTTCGACCACCCGCCAGAACTCCGACTTGGCCTCGCCTGGGCTGCAGCTTCGTTCTGGGGCTCTGGGGCACTGCGCACTCCGCGCAGGCGCCTCCTGACAAGCCCCCGATGGCATAGCCGGGCAGATCGCGTCTGATCATCTCCTGTGGAGATGGAGTGTAAGGCTTTGAAGAGCAGCGGAGGCCGCGGGTTCGGTCGGTCTCCTTCAAGGAGTAGTCCCGCAAGCCTCCGTCCTTGACATCCAGGTGGCCCTGAACGATGCCGAAGAGATTCCTCGGCTCAGGGCAGAGGGCAGAGGCGCTCAGGCGCTCCGCTCCCTCCGCTTCAAACGTCCCCCCATGGCCAAGCGGCTGCTGCTCTGGATTTCGGTGCGCTTTCATGCATCGATCAATCCTCGGCAAGGAGGGACGGCCGGGGCCCCTCTTTCGATGCCGGCAACTAAGCCAACGAGGCGCAGGGCGCGTGCGGTTTGCCCCTTACTCTTTGTGTGGACCTATGTGCCAGAGACTGGAAGTAGCTCCTTGATGTTCTGACAGTGGGATGGGGGTTCTGGGTGGACGTTTTTACGTCGTGTTTACGGTTCGGGAATGCATACCTCATCCGATGCTCTGGTGATCGGATGAGGTCTGGGTGTTCGAAAAACGGCCATGTGATATCATGAAACGCGAGAAAACACGGGGCAATGCGCCCCAAAGCCGAAGCTACGTAGAGCGCGGCCCAGCGGCCATCTCAAAGTCCGATCCGTCGCCTCTTTGATGCGCGCCTCGTCCTTGACAGGATCCAGCGTCGAAGAAACCTCCAGTTCTGGGGCCCCATCGCGGACGAAAGAGGTCTGAGACATGGCTCTACCACCGGCCGAGTTGCCACATCGTCCAGGGCCATCCTGGAAAACTCATATCTCAGATAGACACTGGCTTGAAGCCTAGACCTGAGCAAGCCGAGGGCTGTCATGATGTCGGCTCCGATGTCGTTCTGGGACTCAATGGACTTCTCCGGTGTCAGCAGCATCCGGCTTCCCGGCTTCTTCGGGTCTTCAAACTCGACACCGTCTTCCTGGAACCATCGCTCATAGCCAATCGAAGCACGCGACGCAAAGACGGCTCCGCCGCTCCACTTTGAGCAAGCCAAGACTCTGTAATGACGGCCAGCTTCAGCAAAGAGACCATCTGAAACCCCCCGCTGTCAGTGAGGATGTTGCCGTTCCTGCACACTTGCGAGCAGCGGTGTGAAAGAGCTCTGAGTCATAGTCTTTCTGCACTTTCAGAAGAGGTGCCAGTTCATCAGCTTGTGCAGACCACCGCATTTTCGCAGGAGCTCGCAGGTGGGACGGTTTGCAAGATGGAAGGTGTTCCCCAGCAAGATCCGGCCTAGACAACATCCGTCTCCTCACGCGGTGAGACTCTACGACTCTGTGCAGCCGACAGCCGAGCATCTCCATGTCCTCCTCAGCTCCCGCAGCTCGCTGCAATGTGCCAAGACGTGCAGTGCAGCCGGAGTGGCGGACGACATGCCCTTGATGGTGCCCTGCGTGCCTGGGAGTGCTCCGTTGAAATGCATGGCTCTCGGCTGTCAGACTCTCAGGTCACCTAATTCCGTCCCGTCTCGGATCTCTGGCGAGCCACCAACTGGCATGAAAACCTGAGCCGACCAGTGCGCCAAGTCAATTACAGACAAAGGCTAAAGTCAAGTGACTTCAAGCCTCATGTTGCCACGAATGCGACCATTCGGGAGTTCGAAGGACATCGAAGGACTAGAAACAGTTAGATTCAAGTATCCAAACTTTAACTATATGGAGGCTGTGGCAATCCCCTGGCAAACAAGGTGGCGAAGTCGGTTGGGCACAGTAGGGCCTAGCGGTAGCAGTGGTAGCATTTTGCATCCATTTCAAATCTTCGTGACGACGAGAGGCTGGTGTCAGGACGTCACCATGGGGCAATGTCACTGTTGCAGCTCGTGCACGGCCACAAGTTGCTTCCAGGTGGAAAACCAAGGGGGGCCGGCCTGCAAGAAATCGATGGAGTGTTCTTTCAGACACAACCAACGCTCCAACGTTCACGCCAAGTTGCCCGCTTGTGACGGCTGAGTGCCATCCGCCTGGGCATCCTCCAGCTTTCGCTTGGACATGGCATCCTATTCTCCGCGATAGGCAATATGGACGTGGTGATGGTGCATGCTAGGCTGGTTGATTTATAGCCGTGATCGTGTGGCTGGTGCTGATATTACCGTCTTGCTGCCTTCCTGGATACCTCCTGAGGCTGAATTTCAGAATCCATTTGGCTAAAGGTTGCATCGGAGTCGTGTGTGCTCGGAACGCCGTCACATCAGGGCTTCATTGGGCAGACTTCCAGCTTGATGCACTCTGAGGATTGGACTTCCCGCACCATGTCCCGGAGCCAGACCTGCTCGTCGCATCTAAGCAGTACAGCGTTAACAGAATCAAAACAACGCAAAGGCTTGGTGAGGGCTCAGCCACGTCCCTTCGCTCGCACTCTTCTCTTCGCCCAACCCAGTTGCCTCTGCAGGCCTCCTCGCTTGGCAGAAAACGCCTGCGCTCACCCTCAAAGCCTCCCCAAATGCAGATTGAGGAAAGCCTTTGAATCCCTGTGGAAGGCCAATCCTTCCTTGCCCGGCCCACCACTCAGGGGCATCGCACCGGGTCTCTGCTCCAGCGGAGTTTGCCTTCTTTGGCGGCTCAACAAAGGGAGGATCTCCAGTCCGACGCCAAGGCTCAGGCGGCTCAAGGCCCAAGTCTGGGGCAAAGTCTAGCATGAAAAAACCCTGTATAAGGTGGTCCAACAACCTTTTTGCGCGAAAATTCTTGGAGGCCGAGCCTCAGCACAGGGCATCAAAAGGAAATGTTGCCTTTGAGAACAGCGGTACGCTCTACGCTCTCACATGGAGGCGTTTGACTGACAAAGCGCAGCACTCCACCGGGCCTTGTTGTCTCCGACCGGCACCTGGTGACGTTGCAGATACGGCACGAAGACAAATCAAGCTTCTCCTACAACTTGCTCTATGGTACTTCTGGCATTGTAGCACATGGTCGCAGAACCCTTCATGCATTTTCGGAGCTTCTCTGTGAAGGCAGATCGGCTTGGCAAGCGAGGACGTCGGCCCAACCTTCTTCACAGCATAGTCGCCCAGCATCATGTCGTCTAGAACGTGACGGCAGAGGTAGACTGCCCCGAAACTGGCGAAGGAACACAGCAAGACTATGGCGAAGTCGACACGTCAGCTTTCTATTGTTCACCCATGCCTTCCAGAGCCCAGCAGTTTCGTCTCTTGAAAGAAGCGGACGTAGTACCTGGTGACAAAACCCGGCGATTGGCAGCATCCCGCTGCCCCATGCACTCCCGCAAACCCAGGTTGGACGCGGGCCCTGTGTTCAGAAGGCCTGCAGGAAGGTGCCGCAGAGCCGCCTCAAACGGAGCCGCGCTGGACCGCGCTGTGAGGCGTCTTGGCCTGGTCTTTTCTCCGAGGCACGGCAGCTGCTTGTTGTGCCTCTGCACCCCCTTCGGATGCGAAGATGGGTACCTGCGTGACACCCGACCGCACGCTCAAATCCTGTGCACCCAGGGAACACACCTCCGCCGGATTGGACGCTTCGGCGCCGAGGAGGAACGGATTCGCGTCGTAGTCTCCATCCTCAGCCAGTGCACAGTGCCGGACCTGTCCGTAAATAGCACCGGCAGTTCTGAGTGCCAAGCTCCGATGGCTATTGCATCGCCCTCGGCAAACAACAAACCAACAAACCCATCATCAGAAATCCATGAACCCAGACTTCGTTAGTATATGTTCGTAGGCAGTGCCTGCTCCTCGTCAGAGACACCCAGGCCCGCCAAGCGATCCATGGCACTTCGCGAAGGCACCTCCTCCTGCAAAAAGAGACTGCAGCCCAGCGGCGCAGCATCAGTCGACAAATGCCCACCCAATCCCTTCCCCGGCGCCGGGAAGTCGTCGCGGCCATCACGCTCGTCCGAACCGCGGTCTTGCTTCTGGAACTTCAGCCTCTAAGTAGGTGCTCGCGCTATCGTTGCTTTCCAGACGCGCTCTCGCTCTCTGGGTGTGCCGCCCTGCAGCATTCACCATTTCCATGAAGGTCTCCACGTCGAAGCCCTGTGATCAGAAGCGCACAGCTTTGCGGACGCGGCTTCTCATGTCCTCGCTCGTTAACGCATTTTGGACCCGGCCTCTAGGTCCATGTCGCCAGAGTTGTCGTACTTTGCACGCTTGTTCTCGTCTGACAGCACCGTGAAGGCCTTCGTGAAATTCCGAGCCGAGCAATGGAGTGCCTCCGTGCCTCCACCTCGGCGACTTTCTGGAACTTGAGCTTGGCATCGGGGTCGTCCGGATTCTTGTCCGGGTGAAACCTCCACGAAGAAAGTCACGTGTGAGCGTTGCGCACGGCCATGCATAAGCACGCGGAGAGACAGAGGGGTTGCCTCAGAGACCGCTTGCGGTAGGCTCGCTTGATGTCATCGGCTTTCGCGCTGCGCGGGAGTCCGAGAATCCTTCCAAGAGTGCAAGCCGAAGCGAGCGCAGGAGAGGCGGAGAGGCAGGCAATGCAACAAGGCATGCGGCGTACACCTGTACAGGTCACTTTCCGCAAGCAGATCGATGTCTTCGCCCTCCGGATCCCGGGTACCGCTGCGGAACAGTCCTGCAAGGGAGGGATGAAAGCAGCACGCGCACGCACACACACACACACACACACACACACACACACACACACACGCACACACGCAGACCGTTCTGTAGGTTTCTTGGTTTAATGGTTGTCGGGAACGTGGCTCTTGCTCCTTCTCTTTGTCTCCTTGTTTTTTGATGATCTCTCAACTCAATCTTCTATAGTTAAGAAATACCCAAGAGACACAAGTGTTCTAGCAAGGAACAGCAACAAGTACAGCAATCGCACTTGTTTTCCTTGAGCCAAATGTTCAGTTGATAAGTCTTCGTTCTGTCCTAACTTGGTACTTGTAGTTACACTAGGAAACATGCCCAGGGAACGTGTTTTCTCAGCTCCCCCCTTTAGGACAAGTACGAACGCTTCTACGAGCCTGTACAGATGCTGATATGTACAACAGTTTACGGCTGCTTGAGCTTGAAGCCTAACGCTTGTAACAAGTGACCGTCATCAGGACTGATGTTGGTCGAGTCTCTGATTGTAAAGGCAACTGCAGTGAACCTAGGATTGCTGGTGGCAATAGACAAATGCCAACGCCTTGGATCGAACCTCGCAGGACTCTTAAGGAAGAATCCTCGTAAGCGAACACCTGGTGCTGGGCAAGGGGAGTCTCCTTTAGGATCCTCAACCCACAACAGCGGTTCTGTGCACGGCGTTAAACCCACAAGGAAATTCTTAGAGTCAGGTGCGTTGTGCGAATCCCTATGCATCGGTGTCATTACACCTTCTTGCACGATTACGGTAGTAAACGTGTGCGAGGGCATCAGTTGTCCAAAGAACCTAGTGATAACGGCAGTAGCTTTGGGAAACAATCTTGTCATATTCCTTACACCAACGATGCCACCATGTACGAAAGCACCTGATGCGAAGGAATGAACACCTTCTGCAGATTCAGCCCTTGCTGATTGCTCTTGCGGTAGGTAAGACAACCAACTGCACGAGATGCTGTTTGTTGATGCGCTGTGGCAGGCTGCCAGCAAACGCTTCAGCACGCGCTATTGCGTCTGCTAAGATGACGAGGGCTTTCTCCTCTTTGGGAACAAATTTAAGACCTAGTTGGACTAGCATGACTGGCCATTCACAGGGGTTTATTACCTTAGTAAGGCCGTCAGCTATCTGCTCTTTTGTGGGGCAGCACGTCGCAACTACTGAGTCGTTATCAATTTGCTCCGACATCGAGGCGATGTTGATGCGGTGCACTCTACCACAATGCCTCAACTTAGCGCTGTAACCGTTAGCAAGAATCGTAAGCAGGGTCTCGTTATCTTGATGGTATGTTGTCTTGCAACAATAACCCAACAAGTACTGCATGAAAGTCTGAATGTTTATCGCTTCTGAAAACATGGCAGTGCTCATGGCGATTGCCTCTGCCTCCGGCGTCCAGCGCGCTACGGAAGATTGCTTACGTGAGGACCAAAAGACAGGGAACCTTGACGCTCCTGTCTCAATGCAAACGAAGATACCAGACGTGGATTTGCTGGTGAAGGGACAGCTACCAAAATCTGCGTCAGTGTACACATGAAGACTCGGTTCTTCATTGTGACATACAGAGGCTGTTAAGCACAGGTCTACTGTGCCGTTAAGATAGCTTATTGCCCTAGACAAAACCTTATCTTCCCATCTGGTCCATCGCGTGACCTTGGTTGCAAGTCTTCCAGTAATGAAGTAAAGATCTGGCCTCGATAGTCGCGCCAGCCACAGCATCTTCATAAGAATGCGTGCGGCTACACCGCTAAGCTCTCCTTCTACAGCTAGATCCTCATCAGCGATACCAGCTTCCGAGAGACAAGGCGTAGGTACTTTACGCAACTTCGTTTGCTTTAAACCAGACAACTCCAAGTACAACTCAACGACCTGTTCGGCATAAGCGCACATGTTAAGAGTAACAGTTGTATGACTCGGACTGCGATGAATCGTGTGGTTTCTGCCCAGAACCCTGGCTCCATCTTCAATCTTGGTTTCTGGCTCAATCTTGATTAGTTTACGCAGTTGATCCCAGAATCTCTGGTGAAGATCAGCCTTCCCGGCAAGACTCAAATCATCAACGTAAATATTCAAGACTAAGAGCTCACCCTGAAACCAAAACAACCAATTAGAAGGATGTCCTGGGACCTCTTCGCCTCCTATCGACCGTAATTTCTCTGCAAGATGTTCTTGCCATAACTTTCCGGCAGGTGGATGCCCATAGAGGCTCCGCATCAGCTTTACGGCAATTTTGGCGTTCGGATCAAACTTTTCCTTCATCTCTGCGGTCCAGAGTTCGTACGGCAAAATAACCCACGTGTCTTCTTCGAGCTTTGCTTGAAGAAATGCTTGGATCGCATCACTAAAAGCAAGGGTTGAACCTTTTCTACACCCAAACCAAAACGTCAAGTTTAGCGACGTAAGCGCTGTGGGCGATGTCGCCGTGTCATCAAACAAGACGATGTTATGTGAAGCGTCCGTTAGATAATCTCCACGATACACGATTCTACCTTTCCACTTTTGTTGGTGCGGTTCCAACTCTATGTGCTTAACACCACACAAGGTAAGCAACTCTGCCACTTTAATCTTTCGATTCTGGGCTCTCGCTTGACTCCGAAGACTAGTCAGAAGGATAGCTGAGGAATCATCCCAGGTGTTGTTGGCCCTGAGTCCGTCAGCCTCCTTGTGTACTGCCTGTAAGCCCCTCGGGTCTTGCATCCAAACCTTTCGTGGCAAGTTTTGAGTCACCATACCATATGCACCTGTCATGTGCGGCACACTTTTGAATGCATGCGATGGAAAGAGAGCCTCTGCAACAACTTTGGCGAACTTGATCGGACTTGCATCCTCACATGCTTGATGTGCGTTGCTACAGTGCTCATGCGCATGGCTACCATCGCATTGGTACTGAGACAGGTACTGTATGAGGTTCAGACTATTGGTCGAAACACACAGTGGACGATGCTTGGGATAGTGGTCACCCTCAAAACCGAGCATACACCCATCGAAGGATACACGCTTCAGGCAGCTGGCTGACTCAAAATCTCTCCAAAGCTTGTGATTCCACGCATACGCTATGATTGTCAAGACAGGTTTGCAACAGTGGCAATGTCTGACGCAGTGAATCTTCGATTACCTTGCGGTGTGCTTTATGCTTGCCTTTGTGACGTTCTACAAAGGATAAGTTAACCCAAAGGTCAGAACCCTTTAGATGTTGAAGCTGTCCCAAAACTTGATCAACATGATCTTTGTTTGTCGGGTCAACTACATCGGAGGATAACTTTATGCACTTAGCGCCTATATCGCTGACGGCTTGTGCAACCTTTGAATCCACATGGCCAGCATACTCTAACAGCACGTTCATGCCTGGCATTTCTGTTAATGTTGCAATGCGCCTCGCGTGATTCATCACGGAGTGCCGTTCAAGGAACTTCGTATCAATGTCATCAACAATCTTACCAACGGCACCTTGCTCAACATGTTCAGCACTCGCGGCCTCTTCATGTGACCCCCCTGGATCTGCATTCTCCGTGGCTCGGGAGCCAACTGGATCAGCTGGTGTTACAGGTGGTGTCTTAGGAGCTTTGGCAATTCTGTCGGCGCGAATCAATGCATTGAATCTAGCCCTACAAAGCGGCGTATGTTTTGTTGATTCGAATTCGCATCCTCGGCACCCCGGCGTGGCACCGAATTTGAAAACTCTATCCATGGTGATATACTCATTGTGCGTTCGTGGCGTAGTTACGCCATCAATTGCAGCAAACGGTATGTCTAAGGGTTGAATGTCATCTAGCTTTGGCTGGTCAAAGTTTGCTAACGCAGTTTCGGCAGCACGCTTCAAAGGAAGTTGTGGTGGCTGTTTGTCGTCAACCCAAACCTCCTCAGTAGGAACAGCTATGGGGATTGCATAACCGGGAGTGCGGTTCTTGATCTTCTGATAATCCAGAACAAACAACACCCCTTTAAAGCTCTTTGGGCCCGAATCGTATCTAAACTTGGATTCGTTGAAGGAGCTATCTTATCCCTCAACGTAGCGTCAACAATAATGCACGAGCTGTCCCAACAGAAGCTTGCGTCCAGTGAACTCCGTGCCAACTGCCAGGCAGTGGCGAGTCTGATCTCTGCCAGCAGCAATGTGCTTTGCAGATAACATTGTAGCCGCGTAGTCTACACTTAACGGCCATAAGTCCGGAACGACCTCGAAACCAGCACCTAAGTGCGTAGCTCTCGCGATCTCTTCAATGGTTCTGATGTCTCGCTCAAGCTGTGAATTGTGGGGAAAACGATTTTCAAGCGTACCCTCACGTATGAAGCCCAAACGCTTACATGCAGCCAGAATCTCAGCTGCTTGATCGGATTTGCACATGACGGTTGTTCGATCATCATATGCTGGGCCTAAGAACAACAGAAGGTGCCGTGAAACCGAATCCGTGTCCCTTTTTGCAATCGGATATGCTCTAATCCACCCTGAAAACTCATCGCGCACTACTTGGACTGCATTTTCTTTGCCGTCCTTAAGCTTTCTTACAATGATGAAGTCAGCGGCGATCCTTTCCCCAAATTGCGTCACCTCGGGCAGCATCCCTCGGTCAGCGAGTGGGTCCGCACGTTTCGATGTGACTCGCTTGCGATACATTCTACTCCCTTGGCATGTGGGGCATGCCGGGTTCTTTGGAAAATGGGACAATCTATGCTCAAGACTCTGCGCTTCTCTCACAAGCCTCCGATGCCTAGAAAGCCCATCCTCTTCGCTTGACTCTCTTTCTGAATCTGCCAACTCGCCATCACCTGGTGGCTTTGCCGGTGGCGGTAACGGTGGCGGCGGCAGTAGTTGATCGGAATCTTCTTCGGGAGCCTTTGGTTCCTCTACTTCTACGGTCGGATCGGGATCCCTAGATCCTGCGGCTGTTGAACTAGGGACTCCAGGATCATAGAAGATTTCACGTGATCCCGAATCAAAAGTGATTTGTTTTGAAGTCTTTGACGAACGGGCTGAGTCATGCATCAACTTCTTCTGGGCCGGCATAGCGAACTGAACCTCTTCGGAGAAGATCGGGACATTACCTTCTACCCTAGCTGCCTTATGTACCCGTGTGTTATCAGCTGATAACTGTAGTGCGCCCTGGGGCGCAAAGTACGGCAATTCACCTGGCATCCAAACGAAGGCAAAACCCTGACTGACGAGTTCGCCCATACTCCGAACAGTGGGGCAACTATTCAGCACATAGCTTTTATGATGCCCAAAGGTAGCTCCAACAGTGTTGAAGGTGCTACTGCTTTCAGTCCTACCGTTACCCGTTTCAAAGGATACTGGCTCATCCTCGTGACATACGAGGTCATCGGTATAAACACCCTGAGCCCTCAACGACTCAAAAGAGGTCAAGCTGCGACCTGCACCAGAATCCGCTATCCAGTCAAGCTTATAGCTATAACCCGAAGCCCTTTGAACCCCGGCTGGCAACGAAAGAATGGCAGGCGCTGCGAGGGATTGCGATGTCCAAGCTTCATGTGCAATCGCAGAAAAGTCAGGACAAACAAAGGTGGCAAGTGTAGCAAGCGCCTTGCAAACGGCGTTAAAACCGATACGCAAAAGGCTATTGCGGGAATCACGAGTGGCAGCTGTGCCAACACGTGTTGCATTTCCGACAGCTCTCCCTGCGGCCGTTGTTGGGAGTAGCAATGCTACCGCGGCTGATGAAGTAGAAGCTCCTTTGGGCTTACTGCTCCCCCCTGTCTCATGTGAGAATGGACAGTCTTTGCCTCGGTTGCATGTTCCTTTCGGGAAGAACCCACATGGTACGGTAGCTGCTTTAGCCTCAGCGCTTGCATCCGCCTTTGGTGGGGGACCCTTTGGATCGCCTTTCCCTTTTCCTTTACCTTTGCCTTTATCCTCACCGGATCCGTCACCCTTGGCTCCACCCTTAGCCTTAGCCTTGGGTTTAGCCTTAGCCTTACCTTTTGGTGTCCCTTTGGGAGGCTTTCCGGGCGCTGCTGGAACGGCGGTGTCCTTTGCGGGAACTGCTGTTGCAATCGACTTTGCCTTTGCATTAGCATCCTGACCTGTAGGCTTTGCCGTGGTCTTATTCCCTTTTCCCTCGGTTTCTCTCAGCATTGCTTCGCTAAAGTCTCGTTCGTTGGCGTCTTCACGCAGCTCTGCCAAGTGATCTGAGAATTGCTCCCAGAGCCATCCGAACGTCCTCCTACGGGAAGTTGGGGAGGAATCCTTAACTTTGTCAATGATCCGTTGCATTCCCCTTGAACTCTTAATCTTAGCGTAAAACCACGAAAACAAGGTCGCGTCAGACGGCCAGTGCTCAGGGGCTATCCCATTCAGAATGTGTTCGACTCTTTCCTTAAAAGTCTGCATCTGATTGTATGAGAATCCGTCCAACGTTACAGCCAACAACGTTTGCTGTGTGACCGTAGCACCTCTTACCCGATCTACGCGAAACCTGCGCGAAAGCATTGCTATCATCGCTCGACCAGATGGTAAAACCCCATGTGCATGCGCCCTCTCAATGTACGCCTGCACTTCAAGCCCGAACTCCCCTTTCATATACCTCGAATCCGAAATCTGCGATGCAAGGAATGAGTCTAATCGTGGGAGCTGATCAGGATTGTTCTGGAGTTGTGCAATCTCGCGGTTTGTCACCTCAGTTCTAATGCATATTTGCAGCCATCTAAGAATCCTGGCTTGACCCGTGCGATCAATAGCAGAGTACTGCGTCAGCAGCGCGTTGCGCCACGATCTGAAACGCACATTATCCTTTGGAAGCTGTGGCATCTTCAGGTCTTGAAGATCCTTGTACTTGTAAGTAGCTGCTTCATAGTCCTCTTCCTCATTTTCATCATGAGGCTGCGCATCAGCACCACCATCAAAACCCCGATCATTGTTACCAACAGCTCGCGGCTCAACAATGGGATCATCATCAACCTGTTCTTCCTCACCCTCCTCGGGATCTCCTATGTCGAAGATCTCAGGCTCAGGAGGCGGTGGCGGGCCCGGCGGCCCAGCGATGGGTGTAATGGCGGGCGCAAAACCCGCACCAATCCCGATACCTTTACTTGTAGCCTGGCCCGCTAAAGGCTTTAGGCTAGAGAATGGTGTCGTGAACACAGGTGATGCATTTGCATTCGATGATGGCGTTGCCGACCTCTCACATGCATAAGCTGATGGGCGATTGGCAAGTGATGATGAGGACCGTGCCCAAGCATCGAAGAAATTCGTGGATGCTTGTCGCTCACATGCATAAGGTGGGGGACTGGAGAAGTACGGGGCTTTAGCAGCCTTGCCAAGTGGAATCCCCGATACCGAATAATCCGAATCCTTCTTATAATCCCTGCGCCCTTTCGCCTTTGGTGAATTTCCGGCGGACGAGGACAACACTGCATCTTTAAGCTCATTCATGGTTTGTCCAACATGTGATGCCATGGCCTTAAGCGCTTCGGTAATCTCCGCGCCACTTTGGGTTTGAGGAATCTGAGGTACACTCATACTTACAGCACCGGCCTTGACTTCCGCTACGATGCTTTGCAACGTCGCAATCTGACTGTAAAGCTCCTGCTGTTGACGAGCCAACATCTCGTTTTGTTGCTTCAAGCTAGCAATGGTCTCATTTGCCACAGCCAGTTGCCTCGAAGCTTCAACGGAAACCTCCGAAACCATAGCTTGCGCCTGTTGCTCAATGGCCTGAACCCGTGTTTGGGCTTGATTGCTCATGTTGGCGGCGATAGCCTGGACCTGATCCTGAGCTTGTTGTTGAACCTCGGAAGCATATGCTACTGCCTGGCTTTCAACAATCTGGGCTTGCGCCAATGCTTGGGAATGAACCTGAGGGTCAACCCCTTGTACAATGACACCCAACTGCTGGTGCTTATGTAGATGAACCTCTTAGTCTTGTGGCGGTGGTCCATACGTTACTGGATTACCGGAAGGTGTTGGCATCTTAGGTTTTGCAACCTCGCACGCATACATGTGCTTTGGTCTCGGGGCGGTTTTGTTCCTATGGTAGGGACTAGAAGCCCTCGAAGGCCTATTTTAATGATGATGCAGCAACAATCCTACCCTCGGATGCGGTTCTACTCGCACTCCTGGGTGAGCTCTCGCTCCCGCTACTTTGTTTAGTTTCGGTTACGACCGATAACCCGAATGACACATCCGGTGCCTGCACAGCAGCTGCAGCTTCGTCGGAAGCAGAGGTGGAAGAGATCTGCAGTGGATCCGTCTCCATTTCATGCGAAGACGCCATTGTTACCACTGTGGGTGGCCGAATGCCAACACCACAATGTTCGGTTTGCAAGTGTTTCGGTTCTCGGGCCAATGGGAAACCACACAAGGGTGCAGAACTAAGCAAAATGCCGCAGCACCTAACTAGTGCGGGTGGCGGAATGCCAATGCCACAAACCCGAAAGAATGAACCTTAAGACCCGAGTCGCAATCCACAGAATCCACCCCGGGTGCAGCACTAAGCAAAATGCCGCAGCACGCAACGAAGGGAAACTTAGAGTTGGTCACGCGGTTTCCAAACTTTTGGCCAGCGCTCACTCGAGAAGCCTCTCCACTGGTACCGATGCCAACCGCCGGCTCGAGCTGACCTGATACACGTAGATGCCGCGTCCCTTGCAATCATTGGCGACCTCGTCCGAGTCATCAATCATCGTAGGGATTCCAAAAACCTGGCATACGGCGCCCTTGCCATTAAAACCAGCCTTTGACGTGATCACGATGGACGCAGCAAAAAGTTTACAGACCCCTGCATTCACCAGCTCTCGCGTGCACGCCTCCGCCTTCCCTTTACCTATAAAGGTAAGAAGCAATGGAAGAATTCGAGCGTGGTTCACTCTGCTCAGCCAGCGTACGTTGTCAAGCGGAATACGCGTCCCGGCGGATCCATTAATCGCCGCATCAATGCGATCGGCAACATCAGCTTTGTGAGCTAAAGTGTCATAGTAATTGATCGCCACGGCGCGAGGAAAGAGCTCCGCAGGAGAGGTGGATGCCAGGTCATAGCCGCTACGTACAACAATCGAGTCCAAATGGTGAGCTGATGAAAACAAGCGCTTAAGCGGGATGATCTCGAAGTTCTCATGTGGCAGGTCTGACAATGAGCGCAGGTTTGCAATACGCGGAGGAGCCGGAGCAGCGTCTCCGGAAGATGATGCAGCAGAGCTCTCTCGATGCGGCAAATCCATTAAAACAGCGGCACCAGAGGCAGAAGAAGCAGAAGCAGTGGACGCCTCCTGTTTACGGTTATATTCACGCCACTGTTCAGAAGTCCAATCTCCAATGCAACCCGAACCTACGGAAACCCCTGACGCCTTTGGCCCAAAAGATTCCTCTATCGAGGGGTACTCGACAAAAAATATTCATCACCCGAAGCGTCCTCACGTGGTTGAGCACGCCTCTTTGGGCGGCTGACGATGAATCCCCCAGCGGGTGTGCCTCTAGTCTCACGGGGCGCCGGTGGAGGCGTTGGAGTCCTAATCCCATCTACCTTTGGTCTAGGTGTTGGTGGGAATGGTGTCCTTACCCCGCCTACTTTAGGTCTTGGTGCAGGTGGAGCTGGAGGGCTAGCAACACTGACAGCCACGTCACGAACCGGCGATCTGGATCTCGGAGTTGGAGCAGGCGGATCAAGTGGAGTGTTGGGTGATGGCACATAAATGGCAGCATCAACCGTCGGTTCGGGTACAGCCCCTACCGGTCCATCGAAAGAGCTCGCCGGCTCAGTGTCCACCTCTACGACCTCCGCCTCGGGCTCAGCCGGATCAAGAGTGTCAGCATCGGGATAATCAGAAGGAAGCGCTGGGAGCAAAGTCAAGCTGGAGGTAAAGCTAAAACCAGGATCATCAATCTCCGTAAGGCGGTCTCGGACAACGTTAACAAGTCGTGACGCCTCGAGCGAAGTCAAGGTATGAAGATGGCGAAGCATGCCCCGAAGGATTTCAATAGAGAGGGCTTTACGACGCCTGTTCTTAGCAGCTCCTCCGCCCGTCAGGGAAATAAAAGCCCGCAACCGGCTGCTGAGGTCATCGTCCGCACTAATGGTCGGAGCAGCATCCAGAACCTGCTGCGTAACCGGATCCATCGAACTCACCGGACGATTACTCAAAACCCCTGTGCCGTTACTGTGGCCTGATGTATCCCCCAGTGCCGGAACTGTGGCTTAACGTATCCCCCAGTGCCGGAACTGTGGCTTAATATATCCCCCAGTGCCGGAACTGTGGCTTAATGTATCCCTTTGCCTGAATCGTTGGCTTGACGGAATGCCTACCGGATGATGACGCAGATCTCGGCGTGACACCAAACACACCCGAAGCTATCACCAACCACAACCAACCACAATGCAGCCGGTGGCTATGAGCCAGCACAGTGGAGGCACGCAGGTCTTTCACCCTCAACTCTTTGGTTGCTTTGGGCAATGGGAGTTGCTTTGGTGGTTACTCCAGTGGCGAGATGCCAGCAGGAGGGCACGGAAGCGATCAACCAAAGATCCTCAACCTCAAAGGGAGAACCACGGGAATGCAACCGTTGCCTTCAATGTCGTTTGGGACAATGGCGGTGATGGGAAACCGTTTGGAACCCTTTCACAAAACCCGGCACACCACGAAGCCCTAGGCCTTCCTAAACCGTGAACGGGTCTCGGAAGAGGTGTATGGGTTATTACCACAATCTTTGATTGTTATGGTTAGTTGGTCCACTGAACTGGTCAAGCAGACCGGGTTTGGGGTATTGGGATGATCCGATGTTTGTTCCCAGTCTACCGGAGGCGAAATGCCAACACGGTGACTTAATGCACGCCCTGACCTGAAAGGATGCAGCGGCCTCAACGCAGCAAGCGGAGACGAGCGCGAATGCAGCCTTTCGGTTATGGGTAGTATCTCCGGATTCCCCAATCGATATAATCGTCTGCGTATCGGAATTGGGTTACCCTATGTATCTGATGCAATCGGTACAAGAAGAAGGATGTGCGATACCACGATTCAATGGACCTGCGGACAATCCTTCGCCTGCGCGTTCTAGTCCTGTTCCACCTCCTACGATTCTGAAGGTAAGTGGGGAAGAACGTCTCAAGTACCCAAAGCCTTATCCTATAGTAAAGATCCACAAACCAGTCGTGCAGAGCTTCACACACCGTAGGATGCCCGTCTGCTCTGGGCATACACGGTAACTAAGGTGGTGCCTGAGGCCAAGGGGAGGGTCCACGAAGCGGAAACCACGGGACAGGTACCTCCTCAAGTCTAAGACTAAACCACCTGCGAAGTGTGAGAAGTTCTTGAACCCTTAGTCTGGCTTGCCTGTAAACCCTTTTCCTTAGGGCCCTTGCAAGTCTAGTCCAAAGATTCAGTGGATGACTGACAAGTGCACGTGTTATCTGTCGCACGCGCAGCTGTTGTATGAATCTAACCCAGTGATTGAAGTGCGTAATGTTTGCGAATATGTAACTCAACCCGGTGGCTTGGCTCTAGCTCAACACGGGGAGTATCAGCACGAGGCAGGACAGCTGATTTGCCCTACGCAATGCGATTTCGCTCTCAACACCAAAGGACCGTGGAGAAATATGAAAGGCTATGACTCAGGTAGAGGCTCTAGACTCTCCTAACCACAACACAAACGAAGTATCTCAAAGCTGAGGCTGTTAACCAGAAGAACACAAGAGACACAAGTGCTCTAGCAAGGAACAGCAACAAGTACAGCAATCGCACTTGTTTTCCTTGAGCCAAATGTTCAGTTGATAAGTCTTCGTTCTGTCCTAACTTGGTACTTGTAGTTACACTAGGAAACATGCCCAGGGAACGTGTTTTCTCAGCTAGTTATGTCTAGATCTACTGCGTTGTATCGTCATCTCTTGGTCGCGAGATTCAAGCATTGTTGAGACTGTACACGGTTGGAAAGATCCTCACACCAAGGCAACAGCATGTTGTCACGCAAGCAAACACTGAGGCCAATCTTAAGTCCACCTTGCACTTGCGGTCTTCATTGGCTGAGGCACAAGCGAAGGACCCTCCCCCCTGCAGTATTACTTAGCCCTCTCGTACAGGGATGACGCACACACACACACACACACACACACACACACACACACACACACACACACACACACACACACACACACACACGTGCGCGCGTGCTGACTGACTGGCTGCGCTCTGCATTCCCCAGCACCTTGCAAGAGATCGAAGTTTATTTTCCAACGAAACTTCCGTTAGCGCGCGTTTGGGAAACCCTAACTGCGCTGCAGAAAGGACCCTGTGCAAAGCACTCTCTTTTTTCTCCTAGCGGACATGGGGGGTCGGTTCGGGCCCGATCTTCCTCCACAGGAGGCTACGAGCCGGATTTTCTATGGACCAGCAAACGCCTCGCTGAGACAGGGAGTGGCAACACTGTGCCATAAAAGCGACTAGGCTGTTCGCGCTGCGAACTCGCGCGGCGTCGGCTCCTTTGAGGCCTTTAAGGCCCGCTGGGCGCGCTTCGCTGCGCAAGGGGCCCGGAGCGCCCGGCCTGGGAATCTCTCTAGCTCTGCTAAAGGTGCCGCACGGGGGGGCCCAGTGGACCCATCTCAAATCTTGGTGTGAGAGCACTGCTCTCAGCAAGTTGCGACCCAACTGGGTGCAAAGGTCGAGCTGAAGGACC